GGGTTAATAAAGGCATTATTATTATTATTATTAAATAGCTGGAGAAACACTGATGGATAGAGAAAGATAATCAAACAGAAAAAAAGATTGGAATTAGCACATTGCTCGCATTGCAGAAGAACTGCAAGGAATTGTAAGAATAACAAGGAATAAATCACCACCAGGACAAAGGTGCATCGGAAGTTCTACAAAAAAGCTCCATTTTTTGACAACCTTCAAATCACTAAATATATATGATATACAGGGTGATTCATAAGTAATGGGCCAAATTGTAAATGTACGTTCAGGAGGCCAAAATAATAATATTTTCATTAATTATGAAACGTCAATGAGCTTTTACGTTTAATGAATAGTTTAAAACATTTTATTGTTAAGTAAACTGATTCATTCTTGTCCTAACATAAATCAAAATGCCGAGACATAATCACTTTTCAAACGAAGAAATGAGAGACATGTTATGCGTTTACGCACAAGAACGTTTTTCTGGGCAAGCAGCATCCAGAAAATATCGTGAAATGTACCCTTACAGAAGGCAGCCAAACCGGAAGATATTTCAAAATATTTATAATCGATTGGGTGAAACAGGTTCATTTCGTCCAAAATATCATACAGGACGTCCTAAGATTATCACTCCGCAGCAAGAAGATGAAATTTTGGTAAGAATTGCGCAAAATTCTGAAATAAGCACTCGTCGATTGTCTGCAGCAACTGGAATAAGCCAACCATCCGTGACTAGAATTTTACACAAGGAAAATTTATATCCCTATCATTTTATACCTGTGCAAAATTTACTTCCAACAGATTATCGAATCAGAGTTCAATTTTGTCAGTGGCTAAAAGGAAAATTGAATAATAATCCAACATTCCTAAATAACATTCTTTTCACGGATGAAGCAACCTTTACCAGACGCGGAGTTTTTAATTGGCGAAATAGTCATGCCTGGGAAACCGAAAACCCTCGTTTAAAAAAAGATAGACATTTCCAGCACGAGTTTAAAATAAATGTGTGGTGCGGTGTAATAGGCAATACATTACTGGGCCCAGTTGAATTACCTCCTAATTTAAATGGAGAGTCATATTTAATTTTTTTAAATAATGACTTAGTCGACCTCTTGGGAGATCTTCCATTACAACTAAGAAGAAATATGTGGTTCATGCAAGACGGTGCTCCTCCACATTTTTCACGTGCTGTGCGCGAACATCTGAATGAAACATTCCCTCACCGTTGGATTGGACGTGGTAGTGAATTTCAGTGGCCACCTCGCAGTCCCGATTTTAATCCACTTGATTTTTATGTGTGGGGTTACATGAAATCAATGGTCTATGCTGAACCTACTATAAATACACGAGACGAGTTATGGAATAGAATTCAAGATGCAGCCAATTCAATACGAAATAATCCTGCTACATTTTTTAAAGTCAGACAATCCTTAACCAAACGGTTAAATGCGTGTATAAATGCTGGTGGTGGTCATGTTGAAAACCTTTTGCAGTAGCTCATAATTAAGCTTAAATTTAATTTAACTTCGCACAACATTAACATGTAGGTTTTGATAACAGTTGTCGTAAGTGGTCTTAGTTCAAGTCTGTTCTAATGTTGTATTTCGTTTTATTAACTGGCGTACAATAAATTGTTTTATTACGTAATTTTTTTATGGTTTCAGTTTAATATTGTTATCAATTATCAATTACGGTTAGGTAAATGTCAACATTCCATGCCATGCTTGTGTCTTAACAGATTAATGCTACGTCGACCACCGTGAAATGTAGTGTAGTGAATTAGTAAAATTCAAATATCTCGAAAATCGTTAATATTTTCAAGATCAAAGAAGTATAGCTTTTTTCTACAGAAATGATGGGGCTATCCAAATTAAACAAGTATGTTGTAAAATAATGAGCGATAAAAAATTTGTAGCTGATTTCATATAATTCATATGGCGCATGTGGCGACATCTACGAGTTAACTCAAATCCTCTCACACATTATTGTTTACCCTTACAAAAACTATAAGTCAACTATGAGTCATTATGTAGAAAAGTAGCTGATCTATTAACAAAAATCTATTTTATTTTTTTCGCTTTAACATCCTGTATCTCAGTAAGGAGCAGACTAAGACCCATTATTGTTAATGAAAATATTATTATTTTGGCCTCCTGAACGTACATTTACAATTTGGCCCATTACTTATGAATCACCCTGTATATATATGAAGAAAAACAGTAAATTTGCCGGTAAATAATAACAGTAAATACGGAAGGAAGAAAAAGAAGAAAGTATCGTTCACATTTTTAGCCTCATATAACTCACATTAAACGTTTTTAATGTTCGAGCTGAAATAAGTACGATTCATGTTATCAACAATTCCTACTGTGGATTTTGTACAACTCTTGTTCGGACTTCCATTGGAGTTTGAGGTTTTACTTCGGGTATATTGGTCCACAACCATGTGATTCCATCTTTGGCAGAATTTCTTAATATATATTATACGCAATCTTCTAAAACTTGTTGTTATCTATAGAATCTTTTATAAGCTTCTTTCCTTCATACGTCTCGCCTAATTTTATGCTTTTACGATTTTGCACCCTTTCCAGTTGCTTTCTCAGATTCTCCTCAGAATATTGTCGTTTGGTAGCTTATACACTATAGATTGATACTCTACACCTGAAGCTATTAAAGTGTGAACAATATTAATTGAGAAAATGGAAAGTTTTTGAAGACACTTCTAAGATTTTTGAAATAGGTTGATATTTTCCACGAAAACAACGTTTTCAGAAATATACAATTGCAATGCTAATTTTCAAAACCAATTAACGTTATAGAGTACGATCAATCTTCAAGCTACCTTGATTTAATAAGCTATGAAGCCGTTGTATGCTGTGGGCATGAGTTAACTATCAAGTAGTACTAACAGATGGTAGTACTAACAGATCTGTAAACAAGAAATTAATCGTAGCAGTATCACGGTAGTATCTTCTCACAGAAATTTTTACAGCTTATTGACACATCCTAGCAGATTGGATTTATCTAATGTATGATTTCTCCCTTAGTTTAGTTTAGTGCGGAAAGTTTTCAGTCTTCCGAGTTTGTCTCGGCCAATGGAAACAATTGTTTAAATTAAAATGCGATGGATTCAAAATCACAGATGGAAGAAAAGACCTAGTAGTTCGGAGTTCGAAGGAGCTCCGAGCTCCGAATTCAGAGAAGAAGTTCGACGGAAGTACAGCTAGAGAGTTTTCCAGTGCAGTTCAAAGTGGGGGTTCGGCAGAAAGATTTTTTTTCAAGATCAGTTCAGAAGTAGTTCGCAATCAAGAAGGGAGTTCAAATGTAGAACAGTCCAAAAACCAAAAAGTGGATACAGACAACAAGAATCGAAAACCAGAGAAGATGAATAGAGTTGAGAAGTGAGATTTTCGGTCAAGAGAAGTTACTCCCAAGAGAAACCCGTTAAAAAAATGAAATTTGAAAGTAATTTTAATTAACGTTCTATTTATTTGGTATGTATTCGTATTTTTGCGCTATTATTGACAATTAAGTTAATAAGTAATAATTAGTATATTTTTGCCAAATTTAAAAACTGCGTGACAAATTTCTATTTGTTGAATACGCAATTGCACACCTACACTACAATGTAAGAGCCGCCCCTTACAGTAATTGGGTGCCATCTATTATTAAAGTTTAAGAATGGTACAAGTTTTATCCCACTATCATACCAGTCCTATTAGATTCTCGATATTTAGGACGCAGTTCCACATATCTGAATAGTGCTACACTAAATAAGATCTAAAATTTGTAAGGGTCCTTGGATTGCACGATGAGTTGTGATAATTTTTAAATCTGACATTTAATTAGATATAATAGGTCTTACTCATTTCTTTGGAAAGATTTGTTGGGTTTTGCACCCACGAAACAACTACATTTCGTAGACCACAGAAATGAATAAATGAAGAAATGAATCCAAAACTGCAATAGAGAGAACATTCAAGATCAGCTATCGGTTATCTCAATTACATTAGCTCGTGCGTGCTGTTTGCGTCACCATACAAAAAGTTTTCTTGGCCCACAACAACACTTCGTTAACAATCACGATATCACGTCAACAAGATCTCTGGATCCTTTACATTATTTGCTATGATGGTATATAAAACATAAAAAGTTAAGGTTGGTGATAAAACTATAGATGTTTCCGAGTATTGCCACTTAAGCTTTCAATGTGACTGATTAGATAAACTTAAATCAAACCCTGTAATGTAATGAAAAACTTCTTATAGGAAAATAATACCAAATTTAATAGAATATATTTAATTTTATTCACATAATATTAGTATAATTACTATATTAACACGTTCAACCTGTGTCTACTTCAATTCTAATCAAACATCTAAGTAAGTTATTAACAATAGAATTTCGCATGTTCCACCCCAGTTTCACTAAATTTCTCGATTAATTAAGAATGATTTTGTCAATTTACAGTTAGAATTTCTCTTGAATAGAAACCACTAAACCCCCTAGGGAGAAGGTCTAAAACTTATTAATAATTAGGCTGTACGTTTCGTCTCTTTCCATCAACTACAAATTCATCCATGTTTTCACTCATAAACTTGTTTGAGTAACTGAGTCGGTTAGTCGCGGAAGGTAATTGAAGCCGCAAAGTACACAATCTCAGACAAATAAACCCAGAGAGAGAGCGATGTCTGGGACCTCGCCGTTTGTGTGTTCTCCAGAACCATTGTCACTACGCTACTGGTGTGGGAGCTTTGTACGTTGAGAAGCTTTAGGCGACGAACTTTCTTTTGCCCTGGTAAAGTCAGTGCGACAACGTGTATTCGTTTCTACCTTATACTCACGACGACGACGACGTTCAGAGAAGATTTTGTAATGGAATTTTATATTAATTTAATACTGTATAGTGGAAATTTTAAATTCCATACATAAACGATTAGTTTGCGAAATAATTTTTTTACATACTACATTAAAAAATTCTTGCAGGTATAATAAAAAGAAAGTTTTATTTAAAACTTAAACAAAGCTATTTTTGAGTTGACGTCGACGAAATAGAATTAAAATGAAGTGTGGGCAACATAAACGTGTTTAATTTAGCAATTCAACTCACCACCAGAAAATAATTCGATTCGGACTCGCAGCTCGAAATATTAAATTTTAATTACCCCTATCTCGAACATGTCCATGATTCCTACGTTTCTACCATATTTGATATTTGCCGAGAACGCATACATATTTAAATTGAAATTATATTTAGCATCGAAGAGAATTATTAAGCAACCGCAAAATCAATAAATTATATCTATATTACAAGACGTACTTTAGTTATTATTAATTCCGCTTAATTTATCTCACAAATTGGAGTGTATTGCGACATTAATTATTTATTGCAAGATAAAAAGTAGTTCAAATTATTTCAAACTCGATAATAAGTTACAATCATAACCTACAGGTATTAGAAATTGAACTTTATGATTTTCTTTTGGTTTTACATGAAATTGATCTGAAATTGGCGATAAAACTGGAATTGCGTGACTATTTGCTGGTAATACACTTCGTTGGTATGTTGGTGCACCATATGGAATTACTGTGAATGGAACGTTGGCCCAAGGAACTGTAGGGTTGCTTTCAATAGGTAAAGCGAAAAAAACAGGTAAAGAATCTAAAACAGCATAATAACTAAAATTAAAAATAAATTTTATAAATAACTTACAAGTTGATTGAAATATTGAAACCATTAATAAAACGAAAATTATTTTAGGAGAAGCCATTTTTTACTTCTTCAACACTGAATAAATTTCATAAGAGTAATTTTATCGTTTCAATTTAACCTTGTCCGACTCATCAATGTAATAAGTCATTGATAAATTATTTTTAGATTTTGATTTGTCTTAATTTTTTTTTCTTTTAAACAAGCTTATATTAAACAAAAATATATTCTTTAATTTGTACTTGGAAGTTTAATTTAATAAAATATGTATAATATTATACCTACCAAATGTATAAAAACATATATGATATATTTATTTCATAGGGATTTGTAGAAAAATCTAGATAAATCATTTAGAAATACTTGGAAATACAGTGACCGGAGAAAGGTCTTAGGCTTTACCAAACTGTTTACGGTTTGATGATCGTGATATTAAATTAGCCTGAAAATAGTTGGACAAATTAGCTACAATAAGAGGTTTTTGGGAGATCTCTTTTTGCAGTTAGTAACAAACCTGTTGATGTAGTGAAGCATTTAGTTGTACCAATTTCCGGTTTAGACCTAGAAACGAAACGTGCCTTTCCTTCAAGCATTTATGATTTTAGGAAAACATGCACTCTTCTTTCTTATGTATCAAAGTCTATTACCTATTACGACCATACCTTTGATTATATATGTACACTCAAAGACCATACGAATGGAGGTGTATGTTTGTAGTTTCACGTGAGGGTGAATTCCTTCACAGCACTTAGGCCCCAACGAGCCCTTTGTACATCACCACAATTAACAACTCATTCAAAGATCAGAAAACTAGCCCAATGTTTTATATTAGTTATCCGAAATTTGGGGCCCCTAAGTGCACGAGGTTAGGGCAGTCACTAACAATATGACCTACCGTCTCGTTTTCCATTTCACCCCCTCTACAGAGAGATGTATTCGCAAGCTTCATGTAGAACATTTGCTTACGTCACCTGCAGTGTCCAGTAAGGAAGCGCGTGAGGAGCCTTAAGTTTAAAAGTCAAGCCTAAAAAGACACTAAACAGCAGAAACACTTAACACCACCCAATTTCTGCAATAATCCATTAAACTTTGCTCCAGAGGTGAAATATCTTGGTGTTATCTTTGACAAAGGACTGACTTGGAAATCACACATTAGTTGCAAAACCAAAAAAGCAACGATTGTATTGACCCATTGTCGAAGGGCAATTGGGAATACTTGGGGTTTAAATCCGAAGGTTACAATGTGGATCTACACTCACGGGGACATAGTTTGGTGCTCAACACTAAAACATGCATATAAGGCTAAATTGCTGTATCAATTGCAACAACTGGCCTGCCTGTTTATAACGGGTGCCATGAGATCGACGCCTACGATCGTGATGGAGACTATGCTGAACGTGCTGCCCCTAGAAATTTTTATTAGGGAGGTGGCCGTGATGGCGTTTCTTCGATTGCGATCAGTGGACAACAAGCAGGTTGTAAAAATGGGAATAGTCCGGAGCAAGCTCTGAAATAAGGCTCAGGTAAAGAACCCGTCCTTGAAGCTCGTACAGACTGCATCACACCTACTTTCTTAAGCATGCCATACTTTGGCATTGAAACGCTGACCATCTACACTGATGCATCTAAGAAGACTGGAGGCTCCGGAGCGGGAATTTTCTCCCACGATCTCCACCTGCATCTTCTCATTTCGCTAGGGTCGCACTGCACGATTGCGCAAGCCGAAATAACTGTTATTAACGTAACAGCCAATGTGATCATCGACTCCAAAAACGTAATCTGGCAGTAATACGGCAGAAATGTTGTAATCTGCATTGATAGCAGACCGGCTATGCTGGCGGTTGGTATATAGGCATCGAACTAAATCATCGTTAGTGAAGTCCTGTCGGCAATTACTTGAGGAACTAAACGTATATAACAACGTCACGATAAAGTGGCGAAAAGGATATATCAGAATTAAGGGACACGATCAAGCGGACTGGTTGGCGAGATGGGCGGGTTACAAGTCATCGATTTCCCGTAAACCCTTTATACCGTTAGCTTTTTATACAGTGTCAAAGCTGATCAACTCTATCTCTCATCGAGTTTTTGCGATAGTTGGGATGAGACAGCAGTGGGTGCCTTTGCAAAGGAAACGCTGCTCTACCCTGACTGGAAGAGATCTACTCAGTTCCTAGGAACATCAAAAAGTGACTTGAGGCTCCTCACCCACGAATGGAGGTATTGAAACAATCGATTAATTGTGCAAAACATCTATACCAGGCGATGGCCAAGGTCGTTTTTTATTCCGTGTTAAACATCGCTGGCAAAACTTTTCTCAAAAAGTTGGACAAGGAACTAATAAAATAACATCTACAAAACAAAAACAAAAAGACCAATATTCGAGGAATTCCTGCAGGACTTTAAGAAAAAATAATCAAACTACAGAACGTCTCAGCACATATCTACCAAACACAAATAGAAACGCAGTACCTGCTTTAAAAGTTTTGCAAACTCTATAAAATAACACGTTTGAATAAACATATCTACAAAATATGCAAAAAGTGTTTGTGTTTGGAACACTGCCAAATGAAATGCTCTACGATGATTAATGCCATAATCTTTAAAGTTATTGTATATTTGCTTTTTATTATTCAACGTACCACGATGTTAAATGGGACGTCGAAATTGGAATTCGTTTGTCCTTTTCTTTGGCACTACAACCTAAGGTGGGATTTGGCCTCTGACGTTAACTTTTTCCGTCTGCCTCTGTCCTTCACCTGACGCCTCACATCCGTTACCCCCATCTTTTTCAGGTCCTGCTATACATCAACTCTGACAACCCAAAACGGCGTAAATGGTAAAATGGTCACTTTTTGGTCAGCTACACCGTTGAACAGGATTTTAAAATTTGCATAATAAAAGGTTTCTTTGTCTACAAAATCAAGTGAATGTTATTTATGCCGTTTTGGGTCGGCAACATCGACATCATCTTTCCAGCGCATTCTAGATCCTCCTCTGGCTCTCGATATGCCAGCTACTGCATCAAAGATCATTTTTTGGACAATCCTATCACAATTCGAACTATACAGTATATGCCCAGATCGAGGTACAAAGAGGAAAACAAATTTTATTACTGATTTTTCAATCTTATCTGAGCATAAATAATGCGCCAGATATGTTCAAACCACTAAATCGCACGAATTTTATACTCTAACTATAGAAGTTAACTACCTATTATCTACTATTATCAACCTATCCAATTCATAGTTGTATCGATTTCCGTATATTCCGTTTTCACACAATCTTCCATATATTCTGCGAACCAACTTCCTCTCGAACGCCCTTAATGCGATTTCAGCTGTGGTATTCAACGTTCATGTTGCTGCCCCGTATATGAGAAGAGGTCTTATTAGTAGTTTGTGCATGTTCAACTTTACAGTGCGTGAAAGTAAGTTTGAGCGAAATAATTTTAAGTATGCATAATAGCAGTATTAACTTGTATTATTTATTGCATTTGTAATCATGTTTGAGGAGTCAAATACTGCGGCTAGGTACTTGAGGTTCTTGACACCCTGAAAACTATAGTAAGTAACTGAATATTATATTTTTGTTTCGTTCATCATGATTCCCACCTGTTTCATGTCTGCTTCTACCTTTCTTAACACTTCAATAATTTCCTCCCTTGTACGATTCATCATCAGTATATCGTCGTCACAATATGCGATTTTATGAGTGAACTCGCACCTTTGTCAAGGTCACCAATCCCCGGGTGTATGTCAGGTTGAATATTAGTGCCGACAGCGCATCTCTTTACCTCACTCCCGATTTTATTTTTGCTACCTTTGCTGCCGGGTTTGCCGGGTATTCCTATCAGTTGCATCTCCTCCTCGTGTTTATTCGTGTCAATGCTGTCAAAGGTCTTCTTGAAATCAATTTGAAATCATTTCTCTAACGTCTGTCTAACTAGGAAAATATGGTCAATGGTTTTAGTATTGTCTCTGCGTGCGTTTTTACTCTTTCGTGTATTATGTTTGATAATACTTTGTGTCCCACATTGAGAACAGTTATACCTCTATAATTATCACATATAATATTCCTCTCCTTGAATCTCCGGGAATCCTTTCCAGCAGCCTTTCCTACCAGCAGGTTGTTTTTAGTTCACGGAGTCTTCTTTCTGTTGTCTTTCCGTTAATTTTCTCCTGGAACTCATTCTGTGCTCATTCTATTTACATTTGCTTCCTTTTCTCTCTGGTGATCGATATTCAGTAATTTATCGAAATGTCACTTCCATCTCTTCATTATCTCTTCCCTTTCAATCAGTACTTCTCCTTCTTTGCTTCTACACACGCTGCTTTTGGGTTGATACCCTGTTTTTTCATCTTAATTGTCCTGTAAAAATCCCTCATTTTCTTCTCTGTGAAGTTCCTCTGCTTATTCTCCACTTTTCCTCTAATATCTTTGCTCGGCCGTGTGTTTCTCTGTATCATCTTCATCCGTGCTTCATTCTTCTCTTTTACTCCACTCTTACACTCGTCGTCGTACTATTCCACATTTCTGCAACTCGTTCTTGTGCCAATGTATTCGTTTGCTACATTCGTGATAGTTCCCTCTATCACATCCCATCTTCTTCAATCCTTTCCGAGTACAGTATCTCTCTTAGTACGGCCTCCAGTTGTTGCTTGTAGGACTCTTTAACTTGTCCTCTTGTTTTTAACACCTTTTATTCCCCCTTATTAACCACATTCGCAGTTCTGTGTCTAAAAGTTGACAACACCTTGATTTGAGACACCTTGCGTGTCCTGGTGTACCATTTTCATGGCTTGTTCTAGCTCCTAATCAACTAAATTCTGAAAGATGTTAACTTATTAGTTCATCTTTGTTTTAGAAGGAGAATTACTACGGAGGAATGATTCTGCAGCTCACGAGCAATTTTATCAGCATTAGAGGCAAAGTCTCCTTAGTACACTTGTTTCCACGGCGTCTTGCATATTCATGATGTTATCTTCTGGATCGAGTACTGTTTTCTTTACGGTCATTGATCGCAGATGCTGTACGCACAATTTTCATGAACTCGAGTGATTGGTTAAACGACTTGGGGGATCCTTCTGACACTATTGAATTTTTTTTGTTACTACTGAGAGTAAGAGTAAGTAACCTAAACACTTCCATCCAACAAAAGTAGCAGCTTCACTCTCTCTTCTAAAGTTGTACAATGTCTTCCAATTGGATCAATCTATTAATTCATAACTATAATAATAAACCATCAGTTTTAAATTTGCATGTCTCATTAAGGTAGATCGATAGAACTACCAAGTGGTGATAACCACATTGTGAAAGACAATTCCCATCTGGTAACAATTATAATGGTTATTCAAGTTATATACGATATTGGCTAATCGTATATAATTTAATCACAAAACCCTTCGATTTCTACCTTCTTTCAGTTCCCTTCACAGTTTCATTTTAGTTCTCTCTCAAATCTGGACATGAAAAGGGGGAAGAGTGGAGGTAAATATTCAAATAAGGGGAAGTCGAAAGAAAAATATCCTGGAATAAAACACACAAAAACATTTTCAAATATATAACTAACAAAAAGTTAAAACTATTAGATAACAAAAACTAAATATTTAAATTATTTATTTAAAGAAATCATTTTAATGTTGAATAAACTAGATAAGAATAACTTGGTTATCGTTCTATAACCTTGTCCCGATTTAAAATATTTCATTTATTTGAAGAAGTTGAAAAATATGAGATGTATAATTAACTGCGAGTATAATTTACGGTGCATTCAGAATTCAAGGTACAACTCCGCGCTCGTAATTTTTCAGATCAATTTGTACGGTCTGCACGATTAATCTTAAAAAACCCCGGAGGAAAAGGGTGGACGAGTAACTCTCGAGAAAAAAAAAGGAAAAATAAAGAAATCTTAAACTAAAATTAACTATGCTGTAAGGTCGCCGTTATAAATTTTCCGTGAGGGACGTGCGCGACTCTCCCGCCTTTACCCTATAAGCACAAGTGGAAAAATTGAAAAATGCAGATTAATTTACTATTCTAGACTTCCTCCCGTTTGCCAGAGAGGCATTAATAAGAGAAATCTTAATGAAATTTTGCTCTCGCGACAGAAAATCCCCGCGTGCTCTTTTTTAATATCGAACCGTATATACGTGAGTTCTACACTTTCGGAATATATATTCTTCTTTTCCGGACCGGATGTTATATTAAATTTTCTCGGGTTCAATTCCGATCCAGTTCGATATCAATATACGGGGACACGTTGTGCCGTTTGTGATGTAAAAATTGCGTACGTCTTGTGTGGAGAAGATACGACTTTATTGCATTTACTAACAGATGTTAGTTGATCGTTATTTTTTAGGTGATATCTCGAACATTTTGGTTAAAAGTTCAATGAAGTGTCTTTTTATCTTAATAAACATATTTTTATAATCTTTTTGTTAATTAAGACTTTTAAAGTAAGAATCTTTCGTGGTTAGTAACAAGAAAAGTAATAGAAGGTTTAAAAAGTTTTTTAGAAGAAAATTTTGAAAGAACAAATAAGGATTGTTTTGTTAAAAATTAACATCCTTAAGTCGCAATGTTCCGCTTACGCACAAATCCTAACTCTTATCATTCAACTTTTTTTTGGTTCGTCTTAAAAACCGTTTCCGATAAGAAAAAAATTATAAAAACCTCAAACTTTCAATTTTATCGCCCACAACCCATTCAAAATGCAAACCAAATTATATATTTTTATTGCGACACTTTTTGCAGCTAATGGTAAGTTCTTTTTCTAAATATTCCCCTTTAATTATAATCAACATAAAAAGATATATTTGTCTATTCACGTTAGCTGCACCAGCACCATCAACTCCTGAGTTAAAAACACTTCCAAGTGCACAAAATTCAGTTGGACCAACGGGATTACAAGGTGTATCTATTCCAATTTCACCTGGCAGTTTATATCCATCCGCTTATACGCCTGATTTAACTGGAGTTCAAACACTACCTTCAATTCCTTTAAATATTCCCTCCTCAATTCCTTCATCGTTCCCTTCAACATTCCCTTCAACACTCCCATCATCATTTCCTTCATCATTCCCTTCATCATTCCCTTCATCATTCCCTTCATCATTTCCTTCATCATACCCTTCAATATTACCTACATCATTTCCTTCAACTTTATCTTCAGCTTTCCCATCAACTTTCCCTTCAACTTATTCACCAAGTTTAGGTTCATATCCAAGTTTTGGAAGTTATCCTAGTTTAGGAGGGTTCGGAGGAAGCTTCGGAGGATACAATCCATGCACGTATACCAATCCACTTCCGGTTCAAACGATGGGATGTGGTGGAATTGGAACACCATACGCCGGATAATATAGTTATTTTTATTGTTTTGTGAAAATATTTTTATGTAAATTACGTAATTGAGATTAAATTGAATGATCTTTAACCTTTCTTTCATGACCTTTAAATTTTTATACAATAATGATTTAATTTTAATCTTATATTTAGAATGTGACAATTTCTTTATCTTATTATTAAAATAAAAATCGTTGTATAATTTGAAATCGAAATTGTTCTAAAGCCATTAAACTGATTCACTTCGTTAATTAAAGATCTATTTAGTAAACTTCGGGAACAGACATGAAATTACCAAGTAAATAATTCAATTAATCCCCAAACTATCAACCGGAAGTGTCTATAATTTACCTCAATTATAAATTGATTTATTAACTTCTCTATAAGCCATTTTAAAGGATTAGTACTTTGTTAAGGGATTTATTTTAAGCGTAGAACTATATAACTGAAAGGAAACATTGACATGGTAGATAAATAAAGATTATAAAAGGTTCTTTTTCGCCTAGTGTAAATGATTTCTTGGATGATTTTTTAATTGGACGAAATTCTGCGAAATTGCGAAAAATAGTGGAAACGAAAAAAAAAACAAAGTAAATCGTATTTTAAACCTGCGGGTAGTTACATTGTCGGCAAAATAATCACTTCTAAAATATAACCGTTATTTCATTAGTTTTGTTTTATTAGAAACAAATTAAAAGTTTGCAATTGGTTCTAGGGTTTACATTTCATTAAAATAACTGTTCAAACGAAGTCATACAGAAACCTTTCCATCAGTTCCTATATGAAAATACGTATGAAACTTTCAATTATATATTTACATGTCATTCCATATCAGTGGGTATATTAACAAAAGTTAAAATTAGGGAAATTGTATATCTATCTGTCTTTTTTTCTCGGAGCAATTGCTGAACCTGAAGCCTTCTCTGGAGTTCATTGTTGATAGGATATCATGAATAGAAGTATTAATTTTATCAGTAACTGATTTTAATGGGCTTGATTCATTGAGCTCAATTCTTTGGCGCAGATTTGCCATGGGACTATCATCTTCACTGCTATAGAAATCCTTTTCAGGAATACTTGAATGTGTTGGATTGCTTGGTGCAGTCAATGGATTCTCTTCAGTGTGTTTATCAGACGCAGCAAGAGAAAGGCGATACTTCAGAATGCTTGGCGCAAAAGCTTCTTCGGGAATTTTTGTGGGATCAAACGAATATATAACCGTAGCTTCAAATCTCGCTTTAATATTCGCGTATTAACACTTAAGAAAAGTGTTCCGAATCTCTGTTTGGTGATTCTTATATCTTGATGCTGCGTCCAGTATATCATGTATGGGGTTTATGTGCAGGAGTACAATACATTTTGTTTATAACCGATTTAGAAGATTCCATTATATTCAAAGAGATCTATACTTCATACAAGTTTCACCATATTCTCTACATAAAGTTACTAACACGTTTCTATCAAGTCCTCCATCAACTGTATCTGAGCGTATCTATGCAATATGTGTCCATAAAAACTACTTTATATCTTTATAATATCACCATGGAATTCATCAGGGTTGCACCGAGACAATACGTCTTTACAAGTCTACCTTGTTTCTGTCAAGCCAAGTAGGTATAAAGTCAAGTCTCTATAATGATTGAATTAAACATCTCTACATCCCACATTAATATTGCATAAAGAAATTTGGTAAAGAAATTTTTATAAAATTTTGAATAAAATTCCCTTTTAATTCTGGATTACATCTTCATACACGTTTTACACATGCAGTAAGTCTCTATCACTCTATTGAGCATCTCCATCATGTCTGTAATGAAACATGTAAATAACTCTATACCTATAAAGTCTACTTCATCTGTGTATCGATTTTTTTATACCGAAAAAAATCTATATATCTAATTCATCCCTTTGGATGAATTATACATCAATATCTGAGAAGAAATTCGTGGAATAAAATTTGTATACCAATTTATACCAATGGACGAAACATGGAAATGTCAACAAATAAAACTCTTTCCCTGGAGGTATATGCGCTATGAACAAACTTATTCGATAATTTGCAGAAAATGGAATGGATTTGCTTATCATCTTAGTAAAATGAAGATCAGACCGAGATGTGATGATGAGAGAGAAAAGGAAAAATGGAAACGAGAGTGGGGTTATTTACGATAAAGCTTGACACACCAGAATCAAGGTGTAGAAAGCTTCAACTGATGATGATTTGTAACAGGGATTTGATTGATTTTTCAGTCCTAAAAAGAAATTACTGTTACAAAGAAATGACGGGAGAGGTTTTCGAAAAGTAGTAACGCAATGTTCTGGAAAACGCCAACATCCGCTGAGAATAGTCGCTTTCCTTGAAAGAAAGTATGTGGAGATACCAGAAACGGCGCTTAAACTTGAATTGTTTACCCAAGCGAATGAATTCATGGTAAGTCAAAGTATTAAGAACGAAATCAACCTATCTATCGATTCAAATCCTTGACCGCTTACCCTATCGAATTGGTATGTGTATGAGTTATAGAATATGTTGCTGCAAATAATAAAACATTTAAATTGGCGGATGTGAAAAGCTTTTCAGAAAAAGGTTGCAAAAGATAATATCCAATAACTCGTGCGACTGTATGAACCAAGTCTTAAAAGTGGCAGAAGATACCTACAGGCTGGATGATATTGTAGAAGGCTTTTATTAAGGTATTAAACGCTACTACAATTTGGTTACCACTCTATCATCATAGTCCTCTTGATAAATTATAAAGAGAATATACATGTCGGGGATGTACGTAACGATTGCCAGTGTTCTTGTTTTTACATTTTGTAGATATTGCAGCTCATCCAGAAAATACAAAAGAAGTCAAATATCTGGGCATTACAATTGACAATAAAATGACATGGAAAGCTCACCTAGATAATAAAGTAAAAAAAGCGTACGTTGTAGTTGGTCAATGCCGGGGGGCTATATACATGGGGTTTGTCACCCAAAACTGCCCTCTCGATTTATACGGCTCTTCCGACCTATGCTTACATATGGTGCAGTAGTATGGTGGTCAAAGACCTTAGTCTACATTTACTGCTGCACTTAATAAAGTACAGAGACTTGCGTGTTTGTATGTTACAGGTGCGTTGCGGACTACCCCCAACTAAGCTGACGTTATTGTTAGATCCAGTTTGGAAGGTAAGACTTTTACAATTTACACTGACCGTAGACAAGCTATTTTAGCCCTGAATAGAATAACAATTACCTGAAGACTTGTAATGGATTGTCATCTGACATTGGAGAAGGCCGCAGTGCCACGTTGATAGGCTTGCCAAAAGGGCTGCCAAGCGAGCGCACTGCTCGCCTGAACCGATAATCGCTCCGTCCTTATCAACTCAACTTGAGATAATTAAAGATTTCACCCACAAAAACTTTATGAACTGGTGGGACAGGGTTAAGGACTGGCATCCGTCTAAGGAAGTACTTCCTTACCCCTCAGCAGAGGCAGCCTTGTCTTTCGTAAAGCTTGGTAGAAACGCTCTACGAATTATAACGGGACTCGTCACGGGTCACTGCAAGGTAAACAAGCATCTTCATAACCTTAAGCTTGCTGTTAGTGCTCTCTGTCGCTTTTGTGAAGAGAGCGAGGAGACTGTTCGACACTTCTTGTGTGACTGCCCCACTCTGCAAGACCTCAGAATGAGACACTTCGGAGAGGAATGGCCGAGCATGGATGGCATCGGGAACACACCTCTGAGCTATATCCTAGCCTTCCTATTAAGTTCCTTAGGCTGGTTAATGTAGCCGGAGAGAGTGCAGGAGGATGTACAAGGGGCCCGTTAGGGCCTAAATGCTGTATGCGTAAGCATACCCTCCCCTTTCCTACGTACATACATACACACAAACTAAATCCCAAAGCTGTATGAAAAGTAAACGAAAACTATTTTGTGTAATTTTGGCTAAAACGTAATTTGCAGAAAATGTTGAGCAACACAAACCAAAGAAAAAAACAGACTCCACCAACAATTTCAAAACGATTACAGTGCATAAGAAACTTTTCATTATCCTTCTATTAAAACAAATTATTTGATGTGGTTCAAATTGACCCTGTATTCCGTTAGTGCGACGCTTTCCGGTATTCGTCATCCTTGGGTTAAGATCGGAAGTTTAACCATTCGGTATTATTGGACAAAAATAATAATAAAACGTTAGTATTCTCTTGTACCAATAATGATGATTGTGGCGATTGTAAACTCATCGTTGGTTGAAATGCGTTTCAGAAAAGACCAACAGAAAACAAAATTTTATGAAGAAAGTAAGGATTATGGTGAATTTTGTGTAGTGCCCATATGCAAAACTTTACTTTCAATGTATCCATTCCAAAATGCAGCATTTGAACAAGGTGTAGATGGTATGGAAGTTATATCTTCCAAGGCATCTTAGAACACTACCGGGGTATTCTTCCCAACAACCTAAAATAACTTTTCTTCCTACTACCATTTAAGTTTTGTAGCGATATATCTGGTCTCCATTGCACGGATTCCAACATTTTGAACTGAGTAGTGATCTGAGTGACGACGATCTGAATGATTGTTTTCTATGCACATGATCGGCTACACGAGCGTTCATATCAACGTATTGTTTGTTACACAAGTTTTTTGTAATTTGAATTTTTTAAATTTTTGGACGGCAACCAATTAAACAAGGGAGAATTTGTTATATACTTATGTATATGCCAGTAATCACAATAAACGCTGATCTACTCCACATTCTATCTCGATGATGTCATGATGGGAAGCATATATCGATGACCCATGCTTTTTTTTCTTTCTCACCATTTAGTCATCCACTCCTGGATATATGCCTCCTCTTTTAACTTTCCCTCGTTTCGGTTTTGTGCTGGTTGTAGCCAACTCTTCTCAGCTTATTCCTTAATGTCATCAACAGATCTCCTGGGTTGTCTTCCTATGCTCCACGTGTACATCTCGGCCTCCATGTTAAAATTCACATTGCCTCCTCCTGGGCGTCTCGCTCATCTTTACTTCGCTTTCGCAGTTCTTTCTAAGCCATTTTCTACTTTTGTTCTTCTTCCAATTTTTTTCGTTTGTTTCTAGCATAGTAGTTTGTACATTGTCTCGATTCCATATGTTAATACTGGTAGTATACACATATTAAATACTTTTTTTTAGATTTAGTGGTATTTTAGGGTTTTTAATTATGAATCCCAATTTTCGAATAGCTGCCCATGTTAGCCTGATTTTATTAGTTATTTCTAGTTCTTTATACCTAATTTTAATGTGTGGCCGAAGTATACATATTCTTGCACATTTTCCAGTGTATCATTTCCAACTTCTACTCTGATGTATTCTAAAGACATGATTTTTGTATTTCCTATGTTCATGAAGAGTCCTATTTCTTCCGACGCTACTATATTGCAAAGCAAAGATCATTTAGACGTTAGCCATCTATGCCGATACCCGTTCCTTCCTAATCTAGTCTTTGGAAAGCTTTCTCGTGGACAAGGGTAAACAATTTTGGAGAGATTGTATCTCTCTCCCTCACTCCATGTTTGGTATTTATTTTGTTTATTTGAGATCCTCTGTATTACGGCATTGTCACATATTAAGTTAAAACAGCTACAATGCCCGAAATCTCTCCCTTTAGGAGAATCTATGCTGCTTAGATAATCGACGATCAGATGATTTCAAGGTGTCGAAGATAATCACCAGAAAGCAATCTATGAGCCGACCTTCTCGAATAGCAGTATGGAGAATCTGCAAAGAATACTTGTGGGCAAGAAAGATGTAAAGGCTGCTTCCATTATGCTGACAAACTATTAACACTTCGTTGGTGGACGAATTCGCTAGTTTGTGAGATTTTAAATATTGTAACTTTGCATCTTCCTTCTTGGTAGGAGTGGGTCTTACAAAGAAATCGTGCGCAACTTTGCTGACTCATAAAATTTTTCCTATCGGGTAGTACAATAAAAGAGAATTGAATTTATTATTAATGTACAAAAATAAACTATTTTATCTTTGTAGTAAATATTGTTACATCATTTTTATTTCTACAATCAATGATTCAAATAAATGAAGGATTTCGATAAAAAGAAACATATATTTTTTATTTTTATCATAATCTTTATTTGACAATAAAAATATCAAGCATAATAAAACACAAAATCGTAACGATACATTAATATTGCTTTAGTCCCACTAATATTTGTATGTTTAAACCTTTATAATCTCTTTTTTTTTTAATATTTACATTTCTCAGGTATGCTACTTAAGAGGCACGAACGTTTAGAGTACATACACTTAATACATTTTTCTTCATCTCTCATTAATTTTTTAGGAATACTGTGCTCTACACGCTTTACATAATGGAAAATTTCACGCAATATACAAAATATCATTTCTAAAAACAGATATGTAGAAATACGGAAATTAATCAAGTTATTAATTTTTATATACTTTTTCTTACAATTTTCAATAGGAATCGTTTGGTGTGATAAGTTTCAATTTACTTTTACAATTAGAATCTAAATTTTTCATTTTCATAATTTTTTATATACAACACCAAATTTTTACTTAAAAAACTCGACTATTTATTAAATATTATGTTTTATTCCTAAATATTTTTTGCCAATTTTTAATACCATCCAATTTTATTAAGTCAACTTTTTTTAATATTACAATGTTATTCCCGTTTTTATTTTTTTATTGTCACAACCAAACCAACAAATTTTCCAGTTTTATCTCACAACCTCCCCCTTTTTATCAATCTTTACATATGCCATGGTAAACATGAAGGCATTAAACAAGCTTCCTCCCCCAAGAACGGTAACGAATATCTTCTATTACGTCACTTTGGTCTTGGGGGTGGTTGTGGGGGAGGATGAGATGATTGAAGAGACATTTGATGAGGAAGTCCTCCGGATCCAGGTGGAAGATTCCTGCTGGGTACCGGAGGCGGTCTCAATGGCCGAATTCCTTGTTGCACTGGAATTCCAAAACTTTTCGCACCTGGAGGTGCAGCAGGAGGTGGAACTCCTGGTGGTAAAGCGGGAGGTGGATATGAAGGTGGACCTCCAATCGGAGTTACACTCCCAGATTCAACTAATTGTTGAGGATCTTGAAGAAGTGGTTCTTTGTATTGAAGCGTAAATGACGGAGAGGTTTGTTGAGGAGATGCTTTTTGTGGTGATTGTTGAGGTGGTAATTGAGAAATTGTTTCAGATATTTGAGGAGAAGTTTTCCGAGAGGTTGCTTCAATTTCTCCCGTATTTTGTGATGGGATTTGAGTAATTTCTTGATTTTGTGGGATGTTAATACTTGGTACCGAAGAAATAGAAGAAGCTGTAGCCGTTTTAGAGATTTGCAGTCTCTTTTCTGAGCCGGCAGCGACGTAAGAAAACACGCAGAGAACGGCGTAGCATATTTGGTCGGCCTAAAGGATTTATTTTTTTAATCACTTCAATTTTCTCGATTAAAATTATATTTTAACAAAAAAAAGTAACGTGGAAAGCTAATAAAGCTAAAAGAAAAATTGTAATGGATACAAACAAAATTAAAATTGATCTACTATTTCAAAAATACATCACATAAAAGTCATTCGTTTGGGGCAGTTTCGTTTATTTCGTGCAAACGTTGTGTCATGCAAATTGAAAATATCCTGTGGATTAGGTAAATCATCTGGTTAGCCTATAACAACAACGATTTTGGCAAAAATAAAACCGAAAAAAAAAGCATGCGTTAAACATTTAACCATCGAAAATAATTTAACAAAAAAAATTTTACTTACCATTGATGATTTATATTTTCTTTGAATCACCTGTCTTGTTTTAGGATCTATAAAAATACAAACAGAAAACAAATATAGAACTTTATGATATTTTATAAGACCTCACATAAAAATTAACTTCATGAATTTATTGAAATAATTAAGATAATAATAAATTCCATTTTGAACAGTATATGTTAAAATATTTTAGAAATAAGTTCAAAATGTAGAAATAATTAAAAAAATAATTTCTACATAAGTTGTTATGTAAAATCTCGCACTAAATCTGAAAAAGGAGGTAAAAATAAGAAAGTAGGTAATAATAAATTATTATCGTTATTTTGCCTTTCCATTTCAATAGGATTAAGATAACTTTTATCTTTGCACGTATCAATATATTCGATATTAGTAAGGTTATGTATCTTTTGGATAAATTGAGTTATATTCGTATGTATGATATCTTACAAAAAAAACTAAAATATTAAGGAGGATAACAATTAAATGTTGGACGTCTTATGAAGATCGTTTTCTGCATTAAAAGATCGAACGCAAACTGCTAGAATGTTCCAAAGCAGCTTTCGGCATAAAAGAACAGAAGTCAGCGTTTCTACGGTTCGACGAAGGCTAAAGAGTGTTTTAACAGGTTGCAGTCCTTCTCTAAAGCACCTTTGCTTACAGTAGCTCACAAAAGACGTTAGTTGGATAGTGGATGACTAGAAAATGTATTGATATGAGTGCAGAATCTGCCAGTATCGCAAAAATTTTGGGGTGGCTTAGTATAGTTCTGGACAGGAATTTTTTTTGAGATACATACGGATATCTTTCAAATTGATGGACGTGTATTAACAGTACGACGACACATACCAGGAATCCTAGAAGAGCATGTGTGCTGTCACTGTACTTATTACTTACTGATCGAGTGTTGCAGGTCCCAAGCCTAGATAAAAGAAGAGGGTTCCTTGGCGATGTTAATAGTTTGCCAAATCAGCCTTGTATTAAGAAGAAAAAATTACTGGAAATAGTTCCTGATTCGTCTTGAATCATAGAATAAGAAGGACCAAGAAAATGTTATGGAATGTAATAGGCACCGAATAGGTATCTGCGTCACGTCAGAGACAAACTGGGAGTGAAGTGGATCCACAAAATATAGCAACGATGAGTTACAGCGAAAAACCGAGGTACAGAACGCAAGAGCGCATTTCGGTATCAATCTGTTAATATACGAAAAGCTTGAAAACAATATAGACAGTCAACCAAAGAGGAGAGCTGCAGCTAAAGTGTATACATCTTTTACAGACTACAAATAAATAATACCTACTTTCCCCACGAGAATCGCCACAAATCCACTTCCTCGTATAGCGCGGTTTAAGAAACCACTATTGACTACCTAATACCAAACGAACAAATTCACCAACAAACATGGAAGCTGATTGTGTGGACAGGACAGTGTAATAATGTATGTCAAAACAACATAACTCTTGAAAAGTGAAGTCATAGAAGAAGTAACAAACGAACTCATAAAGCACGAAGGTTAACATCTGGCGAAAGAACTTACAAGCCTATACAAAATATATACGACACCGCCCAGTTATCCAAAGAATGGAAGACCAGCATCACACAACCACTTTAACAAAAAGGTAATAAACAAGACCCGGAAAACTATCGTGGTATAGTAGCACTGTTTTCAAACTGCTAACAAAGATTATAACTAAGAATCTAAGTAATGTAATTCAAATCCACTGTCGACGCAACTTTTATTTTACGCCAGATGATTGAAAAGACAATAGTATTCAATAAGCCTTCTGTTTTGTCGACCTCACACAAGCATTCGACAACTTGAAATTAAAAGGTGTCATTAAAATCTTAAAACAAAAATCAGTCGATCCCAAAACAACATAAATATCAGACATCTATAGTAGCAACAATACCAAAATTAAATTGGATAATTAATTGACAGAGGAAATCAAGGTTGCATCAGGTGTCCGATAAGGCGACAACCTAAGCCTTTGCTTATTTACCCTCATAATTGACAAAATCATCGAGAGCTGAAAAGATAAAGATGATGTGCTACTCAGATCACACATTACTCATCGCCAATAATGAAGATAATCTGTAGCGTTTGCTTTACAAATTCTACCAAACGGCCTACCGCTATAACATTGAAATATCAATACCAAGAACAAAATCAATGGCTTTCGCCAAAGACCCAATACGATGTAATAAACGACCGCAGTTCAAGGAGTACAAAATAAGTAATGTTATTTAACTATCATGGAGTAACTATCTGTAGCAATAAAAATATCACAAACAAACACTGCCATCGCAAGAAAAGAACGAACAAAAATAATCAGATAGAACAGGGAAATCTATTAAGAGAAAGAAGAAGATATCTTAACAGAAAACTTAAATAATAAGAACTTTAATATAATAATTTGTTTAAATCTTTTTTCTTTATTTTGCATCATTTGCGTAAATTGAAATGTTTTAGTGCTTTATATCTTTAAAAATAGGCTTAACCATCCAGTACTCCTTACTGATTCAGGAGACTGACACAATACTAAAAAATTATTTTTAAAGCAACCTAACCTGAGAAAGGAATGATGGTCATCACTATGTAGGAACTGTAGAAACTTCTTGGGAAAATTGACAACTGCAAAGGGAATTAAAATAACGTTGTCCTTGTTTGTTTTTTTAAAGGTTTTCTTAACTAACTTTATTTCTTCTTCAGTGCAAAAATCATGTTGCTTCCTCATTTAGTTCAACGTGACTTGTGCTATGAAGAATCTGTGTAATGTTATAATTGGATTATGTATGTATATAGCAAGGAATTCAATTTAATGTGTTGAGTTATATTTAAATGCCTCGACGTGTAACACGACCTAAAGTTACACTAGTAGTTCTTTAATATATAAGTTGAAATATTCTCATGTTTAACACCAAAAGGAATTTTAAATTATAAGGATTTTGGCGGGGTAAAAATATTGAAAATAAAATTCCTTCGATTTTAAGGAAGCCATCAAGGGATAATAAAGATTGCCTGCTCCCCCCACCTACTAGGGGTTTAACAGGGGATAACTTTAAAATTTCAAATAGAAACTTTTATTTCAGGTTTGAATTCAACGAAAAATAAAAAGCTTTTTGGTCAATTTCCTCGTCTCTTAACTTCGAGGTAGCTTTGTCGAATAAACTTCCCGCTTCTCACTTAATTAAATTAAATGCTGGAAATAATGACCTTCCACTTCGACGCACTTGTTGATTTGTGCCGCAAATGCGCGTGCACATCTCGAAAGCATGTCAGGTGTAATTGTCGCGCAAGCATTCCTTATTCGATGCATAGCGTTTTCAGGGGTTTACCACAAAGAGAAATCGAGGTCCAACCATTGCAATACCAATTTAATACCTCGCGTGTTACTAATGAATAATGTAGAGAGCCAATATATTCTGTCGCACATTGATTGACTATTGTTAACACAATTATATATTTAGTAATTTTAAGGCAATCACAATTAAAGGTAGATTCGATAGTTATATGACGTTAATTTATTCATGAATTACTTGTTATTAGATAGATCAAAAATTAAATGATGATATTATAGTGAGTAATAGCTCTATTTGAACAATGGTGCAGACTACTACTACAGTATTAGTAGCAGATAAAGAAACAATTAGCACAGCGCTAATAAAATTAATACAAAAAAGAACCAGAAGATATTACCTTGCACAGAACAAAAAATTTTAAATCTTTTTAACAGGAGTTTCTTATTTAGTTCTAAAGGACCACTATTAAAATAAAAATATTTTAATTTTAACACTACTGCTGTAAAGGTTATGTTGACTTAAATAAAAGTGCATCAGGATTTAATTAAGAATAAACAGGTTATGTTTAAGACAAAAGTTACCAAGATTACAAAATACAGCATGGTTCGGCAAAAATGTCATCTGCAGTACCTCAGCTACCACCTTCTTCTTTTCGTATGGAATGTTGACTAACGCCAAGGAAGAATGCTGTTAAAAGAGTGATAAGGAAGTGTGTAAAATTTGTACAGTTTTGTTAGAAGAAAGAAGAAGTTGAAATATTTGTATGATATACTATTTTTATCATATTGCTGCTTTCAGGTCGTCTGCTTATTTTCAATAAATAGACAATTATGTGCTGTTTTATGCAACATTTGCAATCACCTTATATAATTGCTAAAAAGCCAGTGAAAGAATTTGTATTCTACTGTTTGGTGAACCACACTGTTCAAACTAGTACGTAGTCATTTCAAAAGTATACTGTAATTTTACAAAAGACTTCGGTTATTTAAAGCATAACACTGATGATGGTTGGATTTTATTAATTTTCATAAAAATGTGCAACTTAGTGAATTGCTTACGTCTTCGCTAAACATGATCACAATGATTCTACCAAGAAATTTAATAACGGAAATTTTAGTAATAAAGTAATAATCTTAGTTGTATCTTCAACTTCACTTCTTATCTTTTTTTTTATGGTTTTTCGGAATCAAAGCCCACCCGCCACAATAACAACACAAAACAAGGCTGTTAATGCTCAATAAACATACTAAGTGGACAGGTAGTTGGACACTTATTATTTGGACACACATTATTTCTCGAATTTTCATAGAATTTACTTACGCACATTTTTGACTGTTAAAAGTTCACGAATTTTGCAAATAACATTATGCAACACTAACAAATTCACCGATATATCAAATAATAATTCGTATTAAGTACATTCAGTTTGCAGAATGAAACAAAGATAAATTAGGACATACTTATTTTTAATTAACCCTTTTAGATTTAGTACGAGAATTAGTATAGAATTTAGTTTGAAATTGCTCAAAACTATTTTATCGTAGTATTGAAATATATCAGTTCGTCTTCAAGTTTGATTAAAAATTGTTAATAAAACTCCAAATTTGTTTTCAAAAAATAATTATATATATAATAATTATTATGTAATAACACCAGTATTCATCATATACTGAAATCTCCGTATAAATCAATGTGACAATCTTTTTCTATCTTTTGCCTAATTAATCACACTGCACGCTAAGAGATTTCACCATGTATTTACTGTTTCTGACAATCTTTCGGACTTAGTTCTTGCATGAAGTGCAATAACAATTTTGGCCTTATAGATATATTTACACATCTACTATTGAATCGTTCATGGCACTTCATGTAACGTATCATACCTACTTTTAGGTAATATTTCAGCAATAATATAATACCAAATTGTATTGCTTTTTTGAAATTTTGTAGCTTCTATTTTGTTATTGTATTACTCCAAACAGATTAATCTTTTCATAATTTTTGGCAAACGTCGATGGATTTGGATTTTCTTTGATTCGTCTTAGGTGTCAGTTCTAACAAGAAAAGAACGCTTTTCAAACACCTGAGATATCATTATTAACTGCAACAGACATATATCCATTTCTAATATTAACATGTTCAGTTTTAATCCTAACAAATAAACCTTAATACATATTGATAAATAATTGTACTAGAATCGTTTGTTAGCATGATCATCATCAAAAATCGTGAATTTTACTTAAACTAGTGTCCTCCACATTTTCACCTGAATTTAAATATGATTTATTACTATGCCATAACACTGACGAAGCCTTCGGAAATAAAAATTTTGTAAATATAAAGTGACAAGTGTCAAAAGTGACTCTCGTAACTTATAGAAGCGCTTAAAAAGATACAATGTCGTTAATTCATCTTCTGCTATTTTGCCGGGTAGCTTAACTGATCCTGAAATGGTCAATAAATTTTTTGTTGATTCTGCTCAAAATGTTCCGGTTCCTCCTCATCAGGATTTGTTGAGTTATTATCGTGACAGTAGAATGCGTAGTGTGAATGGTTGACGTTTGAGCCTGTCTCAGCTAATAAAATTGAGATTTTGTTATCATCCTTAAAATCAGGGGGTATTGGTTCTGATGGGATTTCATAGATATGATAAGGTTGTGCTGTCCTCGCATACTTGACGTTTTGTGTCACATATTTAATGTCTATCTCCGGGAGTCTGTATTTCCATCTGCCTGGAAGTATGGTCTTGTAACTCCAGTGCCGAAGTCAAAATCTGTAAAGGTTTTGAAGGATTTACGACCTGTGACAATACTCCCTGCGTTGTCTAAAGTACTTGAGAGAGTGATTGTTGAGCAGCTTTGTGGCCACTTGAATGAGAATAATATTCTACCTGACAGACAATCGGGTTTCAGAAAACAGTGTGGTCTCTTGATGAGGAAAGGTCGATAATCTTGATTCTTTTGGACTTCACTAAGGCTTTTGACGTTTTAAATCATGATCTATTTCTGTCAATCTTACATTACATTGGAATTAGTGGTGCGGCTGTTGAGTTGTATCGGAATTATCTTCAGGATAGGCGGCAGTCAGTTAGGGTGAATGATATAATCTCGTCTTCTATGGCAATTGTATCTGGTGAGCCACAGGGGTCCATCTTGGATCCCATACTTTTCACAGTTTTTACTTGTAATCTGTTTTCTGATTTAAGTGCCCTGTCGTATCATTTGTACGCGGATGATGCGTAGCTGTACTGTAGCTTCTTTCCGCATGAGTTGCCGGATGTGTGCAGTCGAGTAACTGGTGAATTGCAGCAACTGTATGCTCGCATTGAGCAACATTCATTGCTGATTAATCCTAATAAAACGCAAAGTATCTTGTTTACTAAAAAGGGTGCTTTACATGTTCATAGAGTTGACATTAATATTGATATTTTAAATCATCCATTAATATTTTAAACTTCCGTTAAAAACATGGGTGTGGTGATTGATGAGCAGCTGTCATCAGCATGTCTGTGTGTTTTTCTGGTCATGTGGGTATGTTTTGTGGTATTCTTTCTTGTGAATTGAAGCGACTTTTGTGTGATTCACTAGCTCTTTCCCATTTTAATTATTGTAGTGCTGTGTTTAGTCCGTGTTTATCGTATGACAACGCTCGTAGGGTGCAAGTAGTGCAAAACTCTTCTTTACGTTTTATTTATGGTATCGGGCGTAGAGAACAGTTCCTGTGTTACCATTCCTAGGCACAAATCAACCAAATTTAAGCAATCGTTTTCGTATCAAGTGGCTAGGGTGTGGAACGTAATCCCTGATTCCGTGAGGTGTGAGGTGTACTGACTCTATCGCGAAATTTAGATCTTTAGTGTTGCGAGACAGCTTTGTATAGTTTTGTTTTAATGATTATGTAATTTAGTACTATGTAAATAAGTTTCATTATTGCTCAGTTTTTCTTTTTAAATTTTATTTTATGCATTTTTATTTTGTTTGCTTGTTCTTTTTTTTTTGTCTCACGGTGGAAGTTAAACCAGATTTTTATCTGTTCTTTCACCATTTGTGCTAACATATCTAATTGAGTTATTATTGATTAATTTAATTATTTTATTGATTTGTATTTGTTTTTTTTTTTGTTTTGTTGTATCATGTGTTGGCACAATAAATAATTATTATTATTATTGTAAATCATGTTTTTCGTAGTCAGTTGATGAGTGAAAGAGAATAATAAATTAAATTTAACACAAGAACGTAGAAATGAGGGGTCTGATAGCGAAAATTTCTTTTTATTTACTTTTCTTAGGTTTACTGAAGAATTCACGTACTTTGAATCTCCTTTCATGGTAACCAAGTATATGCAGTAATTTTCACGAATCACAACATAATCGTCACACTGATGATATAGAATGCTTAAAGAAATACTATTGAGGAGTGTTATAATGCTCAACTATGGAAGTCATGAGTCAAAATAATTTATTATACACAATTTATTGAATCTTTTGGGTATCAAAGTATGAAAGTCCAGTGTCCTGAGAAATCGGGGTCGATAAAAAAACCACCTTTTCAGATATTTTGTGATAAATTCGAAACTCAAGCAAATAGTCAAGTAACTGAAAAGGGCTTGAATTTTGCAGAAGTTCGTAGAGAAAACAGAATCTCGGAAAGCAGAAATAAGTCCAAATATTGTTTAGAATAAACCACAAATATATTATTGGGGCAAATATGGAGTTGTGGGGAACGAATATTTGGAAAAGATTTGTGCAGGCGAAAAATAATGTTTGATGGATTGGTGAGGAGTGTGATAATGTATGGAGCGGAAATATGGGGGTGAAAGGAATACAAGATGGTGGAGGAGATTCTGGAGAGATATTGGAGGTGTGTCTTGGGGTTGAGTAGGAAGACTCTGGGATATATAGTTAGAGAGGAATTGAAGCTAAAGAAGATAAGAGTGGATGCAGGCAGAAGAGCGATAAAGTACGAGGATGGCATGAAGCAAACTAGCGAGCTTAAGCTTTTGGGAGAGTGTTGAAGAGAGGTTGACCGGAGTAGGGGAGTATGAACAACTAGAAAGAAGAGAATATTATGAAAGAAGGGTAGAGATTGAGATGTGGAAAAACAAGAATGGCGTGATCAGGTGAAAGAGGGGAGATACAATAATAAGTTTATACTTATTATGACCTTATGGTCATAATAACGAAGGAAACTCCGAGTATTTGATGGAAGAGGGTAGAGGAACGGAAAAAAGTATCATTACTCAATTTAAGTGTTAGAACGAAGAAGGTGAATAAATAGTGGATTGGATGATTATGTGGTCAGAGTGCGTGTGTGTACCGGTTAGAGGGTGAAAAGGAATAGCGTGAATAGTGGAGATGATGAGTGAAAAAAAGGAGGAGGTATTAGTGGGTAAGTTGTGTATTATGTATAGTAGCAATTGTGTTTTAATTGTATACTGAATGTGCCAATAAATGATACTCCCGCTGTCCAAAATTACGGTATACTTTTCTCTTTACAATTTATCCCAAATTATGGTATACAAAACAAAAAATTTAAACATACATTAATGAAAATTTTACACATTTAAACACAATTCATTTGTCTCAATGGCAGCTTGGTTGCACATAATAGAAACAGGTCAACGACCTTTATCAACGAAGTTTTTCTTTATTCATATTCTCAATTTAATTGTTGTTGCCTCCTGAGGCCATCATGGTTGACTCCATGCACTTTTGTAGTGTCAAGTTATCAAAACGTCATACGTTATCTAATTCTTCTTTAGTTAATGCGTCGAAGTCACTTTCAACACAATCTATTAATTCATCCATAGTTTTTGGCAATGTTTGGTGCTGCAATGACTGAACAGCATTCAAGAAGCCAAGGTCTAAAACATTCAAATCAGGACTTTTCAGTGACTGTGATTTGAATTTAATACACAATCCATCCCTTGATCCTTCGCCAAGCAATTCTGCATCCTTTTTGATAAGAATACGGTTTTGCATTATCTTGTTGAACATAAATTGTCTTGGCTTTATGCGCTTTTGAAAATTTGAATCTAATGGCTGGTAAAATGTTATCGATAATCATCTTTTTGTATTCTGCTGCGTTAATAGACTCCATGTTTTTGGTCACCATTGTTCCTCTTGCCCGGTTCTTGTAGGTTCTTTATAAACAAAAGGAAAGAGTCCTATTTTGCCGTTGAAATATTGTTTTCTGGCACAGTCATAGCGTCGTCTGGCCACTGCAGCCATAACCATAACTTTAGTTATGAACCGTTTGCTTTTACAGTGCCTTTACTGTAGTAATTGCAAGTAATTGCAAATGGTTATTTTATCTAAGAACAACATACTTACCTTTACTGTAATATTGAGAATTGGTAAAATAATGATGATCAACACGATCAACATTCAACGATTGTTATGCGACATTGACGTTCTTAATTCGTAAATGTCGTACCAACTGGTACCATCTTAATAAAGATAAATATAACGATATGCGTTTTGAAAGTAAATATCTCAATACATGTATGTATTTGTTTATAATTTATAAATTTGACGAATACTGGTGTTATGTTATTACGTTATAAAATAAAAATTAAAATACTAATATCCTCAACTTAAAAAAAATACATTTATACATAATTATAAGTTTTAAAGGACATCACATTAAAAATCCAACTCAAAAGAAAAACAAGTAACTTACTAAATTCTTCAAGAACAAAAATGCCTCCCTTCTGTGTAAAGCACTTCCGGATATGATCTATCCGCACGAAAAACTGTAACGTAAATTCGATTAATACCACATCACATCCTTTTTTCATACAATCTTAATCAATAAAGATGCATAAGCTAAGCGAGAAAGATTTTTTACATGCCATGCGTGCGTGATAATTCTTTTTTTAAATTCATGCGTGAAGCCTGTAGGCAACTTCAGAGATGGTTAAGTTCGGATGTTTAAATGGATTTAATTAATGTGTATACATGGTGTTTGTGAAGGTATTTAATTTTTTTTTGGTGTAAAGGTTTTTTGTGTATGGTTATTTTTTTATGGTGAAATGTATGGAAATTGAATTTTGTTTTTTTTGTCATGCGGAAATCCGCAAAAAGCAGCAGTCTAATAATAATTAAAATGCTAAACAACTATTTATGCGAGATATCCTTTTTTTGATTAATCTTTTTTAAGTGATGATTCTTATTATTTACTTTTTGTTTTGCTAAAGGTGATAATGTGATTTTTTTAATTTCGTTATTTCAAACGAAAATAAAAATAAGGGAGACGCAAGAATTTAAATTAAGTGTGTGTATCGCTAAAAACTGAAAATTATAAACTATTTTTTGAAAGGTAAATTATATTAAGAAAACCAAAAAAATATATCTACGATATTTCGAAAACATATCTACGATATTTTTTTTTAATTTAAAGAAAGGGTGAAAAACAAAAATTGTTTTGATTAAATTTAAAATAAAATAAAGTTAAACAGAAGGGATAAGAACGAAGTGATTTTTTAGGATGCAGAGCAAGTATAGTAAGTAATCTACGAGGAGAAAGCTCTAAGAACTAAACAGATATAACTATTTAATGCTAAACTAACGATCAGATTTATATATATAATAATAATATCAGATTTTTAGTTTTATGTACCTCAAAGTCCTGCCAAGCGTCAGCATTCGTTGTGGACAGATCAACAGGGAAACCAACAGAACACAAAACATATTAGTGGCTGATTTCAATGCCTGACAAGGACCATCTCAAAAGTTCCTACCGCTTTGCCATTTTCCAATTATTTTTTTAAGACTTTTCTCGATGATACAAATAAATGAAATAATTATATAAAAAATTAAATTGGTGTCCATCATTGAAAAAAGTCCTCATACAACACGCAGATGGTTTCAAAAATATGTAGAATCGTAAAAGTTTGTAGAGAAAGAGAAAAAAAGAAAAAGAGTAATAATATAAAGAGAATAAATACAGAGAGTTATGTATAAAAGAAAAAAAATTAAGCATATCAACACACAATTTGATAGTATAAAGAGATAGATAGAGTATTTATATGTATATTAAAAATAACTAAACAACTTTTAATAGATAATAATCAGTCGTTTTGCACATCGAGCTACATGCATATATATAAATATAGAAACACTTATTTAAGAAAAAAAAATATTTATATTTTCTTTAAAAGAAAATTGTACAGCTACGTAATTTGAAAATTTAAAATCTGAAGGAAACGACCACATTTTTCATTTTTGATTTTATAATTTTCAACGCAGCGTCAAATAAGAAACTTAAAAACTCAACCTTAATGAAATAAAAAAGAAACCAAAAAGAATTTATTACCTATTCCAAAAAATCTACCTAATAATATAAATATTATGTAAAAATATCATCTTATACAATTTTGAAATTATCCTAAAATCTCCCTAAAAAACTTTAATTATCGTTATACATATACTTTATTACCCTTTCCGAAGAAATTACGAAATTAATAAGCTTGGCCTGATCTTCATATCTGGAAATTCAACTAAATACTACTTATAATTAGTATTGCATTCTAGGTCATGTAGTCATTACAAATGATATAAATACCCAACATTGTCTCATATTACCAAAATGTATAGAACTAAAATTAAATGCTCAAAGAAGAAGACGAAGTTTAAGGTAATTCAACCTAACAGTGCAAGAACGAAATGTATCTTTTGGTGTTTTTATGTCCCTTCTATACGTTACAGTATGCACAACAATCAAAAATTGCTAAATTACTATATGATCTATACCAATTTATGTTGCTGCTCCATAATGTCATATTTCTTTTAATTTTTCGACTCACGTTTGTAACAAAAAAGATCATATTGTTTGCATACCAACAGTGTGAAGTTAGTCATATATCCGTCTAAAACCAAACTAGTGACTTAGCAGGAGACTTCGGCTTTCCACAATCCACATAATTCTGGCTTTCAGGACACAAACAGGCGAAGAGTAGGAAACTCCGTCGCAACAGAAAACCAGAGAGGTTTTATGCCACACGTCCCTAAATTATCATCTCTTCAACATTGTACAGATCTGTGTGACTGCGTTGCCCGACATTTACTGACATAAAGAAATATGACTCAGTCCGGCAGCGACAACAGCTTGCTCAAACATCATATCGAGCTAATCGACATGCGATCTTATCCTTATTTAAGTATGGATCCTTCTGTCAATCGTATAACATTGCATATATCTAGAAAAACTCTGAATTATTCTTCAAACAGATGGTCAGAAATTCTTACAGAATCTCGTCGTGGCCTGTCGTTTCATTTATTTATTTTTCTTTCAGAAGTATTAACTTACTCTATCAACCGGGGGACATTTTCATGTAACGACGTTGTTTGGAGAGAATCAGAAAACTTTATCAAAACCTTATTATGATAATTAGTAAAGTTTAGGCTGGTTTATAGTAAGTGAAACAAATCGGAAAAAATAGTATATCTTTACATTGATGTCATCAATATGAAAAAAACCTTCAGCTATTCAACTACCAAAATCTAACCTAAAAATATATTCCAACATGAGGAAGAAAGCTATCTAGAAGACAGCCATATAAATGATAAGATATAATAGACGATACAGTCTGCACCCAATCATTAAGACATAGTTTGAGAATTATAAAGAATCCTGAAAATGTAAATTTTTAGGGATTAATTACAAAAGGAAGAAAGTTATACAAAGCTATTTGGTTATTTATAACTTGATACTACTAGTGACAGAAAATATGGAAAATATTGGTATACGTGCTATGATCACAGGAATTTTCATCAAGCCTCGGTCTTTTACAAATTAAAGTGTTACCTGAATTAGTAATTGCTGAAGCAATGAATACTACCTCAACACTAGCACTGGAAGTTCTGCTCAACCTACCTTTTTTGGTTATTAAAAAAGTGACTAGGTTTTCTATAAATCTATAGACCCAAGTATAGGCGATACGCCCAAATCTGTCACATTCTAAATTTGTAATTTTTTGCTATGTCCTTAGGCTGCTGAAGATACACTAACCACTGATGTGATGCAATGGATTGCTGATTTGAGATGATGCTCCTTGAAACTCCTTTACATTTAAGATTCTTCAAGAAAGAGATATGAACTACAAGTCAACAACGTTTTAATTGGTTCTTCACTGGACAAAGCTACTATAGGTTTTTAACCTATGTTAAGTTCGTGGAATGCAGGAGAAAAACTGATATGGTCACCTATCCTGGTGCAATAGTTACCATTGGTCGCAATAGAATCACCTACACAATTAGTGAACTTGTAATGGTAATTAATAAAGATTTAAATATCACAGTTTGACAATTGCGATGACCAATTTAATCTGTTTGACTACACTTTTCTCTCAATATTTTTGTGTAGAAGTAAACTTTTCTATGGTTCTCTTAATTTAGTAAAACAAACGATTTCTATAAATAATTTTTGTCCCTGATATCATTTTCCTCTTGATAAGCTTTGAAATGAGTAATTCCATCGAATATTTAGGCAAAAAGGATGTTGGATATAATCATTATGGCTTAGCTTATATTTAGACGATAGATCATATATGAGGAAGTGATACGCTGATAAATCTGTGATGATTCAATAAATTAAAAAGTGATGACTGAAATGTTCTTTCCAATCAACCAGTGTTGGTGTCCCATTACACCAGAAGAAGTGTACTATGTTCACGTACTTCAGTGATGGTGATGACGCAGAAAAAAAAACACAGACTCTGTCCGTATTTCGTATTCGTTATGCATATAAAACGGCATAATGCCGGGCAAGAGAGAGTGCTTACAAAGAGGCTACAGAAAATGCCACAAACATTCTTGGTCTCAATCTCCTTCTCACGTTTCCGGGATATTATCAAATTTTCTTTACACTTTATATCCATTTATTACAATACACACTATTTACTTCTTTATTCAAATACCATTTAGAAAGAACTCTTCATCATTATAATTGAACATTCCATTTTGTACAGATATGGAGTTGGATTTACCTTCATCTGTTAGAGCATTTTTCTATAAATTTGGTAAAGTATGACTAATAACATTAACTCCATTCTATTAACCTCCAACATGTCAAAATATTTACATATCAAAATGCAGCTTTAGGCGATTATTCATGGAAAGGAGACTCCAATACAATATCATCATGGTTGGCTAATAATATGCAGCTACCACTATCTTCTTGTATTTTGTAAATTTTGACATAAAATTGAAATTATCAACATGAATGTTGATTTCTGAAGAATGTGTGGACAATGCTTCTTTGGTATTTGTGGATCTTATGATCTTAATTGGCAAATTCTTAAGTGGCTACATCGTAGCCTGTGATATCTGTGAGATTACGAACAAATATATGAAGTATAGTAATTCTTTTATCCATGTCCAAGCAGATAGTATCTGAACGTTTAGGTCATTTATGACTACTCTTTATGACTAGGTACGTTTCGCTACGCTGATGAATTGTCCTCAATTTAAAAATTGACAGCAACACTAATCATAAGGTTGCATCAAAAATTGAGACTGTCGATGAGTTTGTTGCGAGCTTTATAACATGGCATTATCTACCTTAACTGTCCAGTAATTGCTACCTTCTGTTTGATCAAGACTGAGGTTTGACCGGTTCTTATCGTTTAGTCTTGATGTTTATTGTGTTTTTCAAGAGCCACGATTATGTGATTTTGTAATATATTTCACGGCAGATAATCAAATAACAATTCATAAAGTTTCTTCTGTGTACAATAGTTTTAGTGTCCCATTCTCCCACGATGAAGTTCCCATCAAAGCCTGACACATGCTTACTTTTATTATGAAATCAACAGTTTATTTAACACGCATTGCTGCAGTAATAAATTTATTTTTGCCAATGATTCGAGTATACTAAATTTTTGAAAGTTTTGTTTTTAAGATTCAGTTTTTAAATAATGTCCTTTTTTTAATTTTTGACACCATCTATTCCAAATTAAATATGCTCGAGATATATACAATAATATCATAATCACATATTAAGTGTTAAGTCATATCAAGATAAAAATCTCCATTCCATACAGTACATTGTGGCGTTCTCCAAAAATTGCAGACTAATTCAGAGAGGGGCACTCTTAAATTCACTAAAAAAGTCTTTGAGAAATTTACCTACCAACTTAAAAATATAAAATTGACCTACAATTGCATAAAATTACTACATTTTTAGATAATCTTCCTGCCAATACCATATTCTTACAAATCTAGAGAAGTTTATTTACAACATTATATGAACTTTTTCTTGCACTCTATTTTCTCATTCTAGTAAATGTGTCATTAAAACTTATTTTAGCCTAAAAACTATATGAAACAAATATTGTTTTAAAAACTGTAATATTCGGTCTTACTTTTTCTTAATAGTTAACACATTGATTATCAAAAAATTTAATAAACAATTTTCCTACCAAAAAACCATGATGCAAATATACATCAATTAGTAATATTATAAGTGGTCTTCCTTGCGCTCTATTTTTGCTTTTGAAAAGACCAAATAAAGTCTGTAAACTATCAAAGTAAAAGAAAAAAATAAAGAAATAATGAAGGATGCATGACCGGGTAAAAAGAGCAACTGGCGAGTGGCAGAGCAATCAGAAAGTTTGAGTGGTCCTTGCAGAACAAATGCACATATCATAGCGCACCCAACAACATATAACAATAAATACCAGTAATTAATAAAAAAGATTAAATCGTAATAATACTTTTGTAATAAATTGTTTTTTGTTTATTTTTTTATTGATTAAGCCAAAACGTTCCTTTTGATTCAAAGAATTTTGGCTGTAACCAACAAAGAGAATTTTAAATCCTTCTTGTAACTATAAGAAATTGGACATCGTTTTTTGTGTTTTGGTACTAAAAAAGAACTAAAAAAATTAAAAAATAAAACTAGAGTAGGTATTCTAATTTTTAAAAATTGTGTCTTTAAATTTTGTTATTAATTAAAGTCGCTGAGAGGATTTAGGTTTTTGTATGTTTTGTGTACCTTGCTATGGGCGAACAGCAATCCTACTCCTTCCATGCAGACCTGAAGCAATCCTCCTTCGCCCGAACTCATGTCTTGAACCGGAAATTCGCCCCCTAATTCTGGAGGAACCCCAGAAACACCTCCGCGTTGCATTGCTTCTTTTATACAATAATAAAGTTGTTTACACTACAAGAAGATGTATGTTATTAACTCAGATTATTTTAAAACATCTTTTATTGATTAAAAAATTGTTTCACCTTTTTAGTATAATATTTATGTAATTGAGTTTGTTGTCCAGATCTTCTCCACAAACACAAAACTTTATTCTTTGGGCTATAAGTCATATTAACGAGCCTTTCGTACCACCACCTTTCAACAATCACCCCCGAAACGGATCTTAGAACCAAACCATCATCTCGAACTTCCAAAAATCTCAATTCGCCACCTCCATCAACACCTTGATGCACGGTAAAACTTTGTCTATGTAATAATCTTGAACCAAGTGGTTTTAAATCGATGTCATTACCATGCTAAAATATATTAATTTAATTCTGAAATTGAAAAAGAATGTTAACGAATACTTACTAAGTTATTAATTTGATCTAGCAATAAATTAACTTCTTGACTATAAACCAATCCAATATGACTTTTTCCCAACAACCTCCTATTCTTTTTCTTAATCTCGTTTTTGTTAACATTCAACATCACCATTATCGCAGTTAAATTATACAACATCGTCGATAACAATCGATCTTCATCGTGTTCAAGACGTTTCCTTTCCGTTTCACTTAACGCCTTGTATCGTTCCATCATTTCTCTTGGCCCTTGATCCATCCCAATCATATCACGCTCTTGTGAAACAGCATCCAAAAATGCATCCTCCCAAAATTGCATTTGATCCCATAAAGTTGACCGCTCCTTACCCGTTAAACCTTCAAATAAATATGTTCTTGGTACATCCGGAGATGGTGTTGTTGCTGTATTAACCATATGACCACCATGATAACGAAACCCGGTGCTTAATGAGGATTTACTTGACCAAACGCTTGAGGTTCTTTGTTTTGGGTTTTTCGGAAACTGGAATAAATGAACACAGAAAATTAAAACAAAAATTTAAAAGTTTAGTGATTGACCTGTTTTAACTTTAGGGATTATTGTTAAACATTTAAAGCTGTATAAATAATTATGGGTTTACCTGCAAATTTTCAACTTCTGTATCAGAAACTGTTGATCGAAATGAAGCTTGATGAAGTCCACCTCTGTTTAAACCACACGCCGGACCGGTCGTTATTGAACCACCTGGTGAAAGAGTTCCTCCAGAACTATGTGGATTCCCTTCAGCCTGTTGAAAGAGAAATTTCAGGCATATTCATTAAGACTGCCTGAAATTTTCCTATTCTAATCCTACCCAATTATTCTTTGAACATTAAATCTCGTGTAAAACTTAGAAAATTTGTGCATCGTTAACAGAATATGCCTGATGACAAAAAAAACTTACGCAAAAACTTGTACTTTAAAGCTCTCAAAGCCTCCATTGAGTTACCTTTTCATTTTCAACATATATATTCATGCATTCCAAAAAATAAACATTTATCACTTACATCGGAATCGAACGAAGTTAATTTGCTTAAAAGTATATTCTTCTTCTGATTGAGCATATCTTTAAACATATCGGCCGTCGAGATTTCTTCACGTTCATCTTGGATCAATCTAACTTCGGGGGCATCTACAACATTTTAATTTAACGCTATCCAATTATTTTAATCTTTTTAATACCAATTTGGGAAGACTTTCTTGAATCCCACTCGGAATGAACCGATTTCGGACTTTGAGGCGATCTTGGACTCGAACTTTGAGTCGCAACATCGCTTATTGAACCATCCAAAATGTCTTTCGTCCAATAATGAGTGTGCGCGATTTCGTTAAGTTGAAAAGCCGAAGCCATTCCTCCCAAACCAAAGTTGCTATAAGTAACTTCAAGACCATGAACGACAGCTAACATTACTTTTAACATTCCTTTCCAAATCGGTTTAGAAACACACTTTAAAAAAATAAGATGAGTAATATGGGAATGCTGGGAAATTTAAAAACTTACGACATCATCAATATGATCATCAGGTCCGATCTTTTTATCTAAAGTCTTATTTAATTTACTCAAAACAAAGTTTCTATAAGATTCATCCTCCATCAACTTCTTCAACCGATTCAATTTTAACCAACCAACACCTTCACCTTCCAAAACTTGATTAACAACATCCTTTAAGAAAGCTTGATTTTCAACGTTACTCGCCGTTTTATCAACGCTTTGTTTTCTTTGATATTCTTCTTCTTTTCGCGGACTGTGGATAATTAACGGACTTTTTTCAACGAATCCCCGTGGTCCTCTTGGAAACGGTCCAAACATCCCAGTTTTCGTTTCTTTTCCTTTTTGCTGGAGTTGTTTTTGTTGTTGAACTTGAGCTTCTTGTTTCTTTTGGCTTTTACTTCCGAATAGATCCGAAAACATGCTCGTAGTACTTGCGGCGATTCCGTTTAAATCGGAACCGATGTTTGAGAAGAAATCGCGACTTGTTCCTGCTAGTAAACCAGTACTTGCTTGAACTAGAGATGTCGAACTTGTTGAATCTCTTCTGGCTTCGATGCTTTTTGTAAAAGAATCAGCCTATAAAAATAAGGTTATTAAAATGTTTCAATAGAAATTTTAAAATTTATTTTAAATTATATTATCAATAAGCAGTTGATATTCAAAATTACAATGTTAAGTGTTATCTTTAGGTATAAAAAATTATGCCAATGATGGCCACTGAAATGCAGAATTTAAGTATGCATTTGAAGGATCTCTATCAACACTTTATTTTAATCTAAGAACATTTTGGTTGATGAACTCCAACATGTGAACCAACCAGCTCCTTTTCCAAGTCTTTTGCGGCAGTTACGGGATATTTGGGATGATTGCAGAAGCTTAAGAAAAACGTTTTAAAGGCGTAAGATATTAATTGATATACAACATTATTGTTAGGCTAAAAGATGGCAGAAAAAGCCAAGACTATGAAGTGCAAACATTAGAAATAAAAGACTGCAGCTAAGATTGAAGGAATAATAAATTCAAGAAATAATCATTTTTGTCATTCGTCTTTAGCGCGACAGAAGTTTATTCACGAAGCATTTCTGGACATCATCCTTGATGAGAATTAATGCTGATTGTAAATATACTGATTTTTGGGCTTGTACATCTCAGAATCAGCTGCTATCCATAATATGATAATATATTCGGCTGGCCTATCTAAGTGCTGGTCTCAGCTTTTGTGGAAGAGGAGTTCTGAACTTAGTAGGGGCTCTTCAGGACAAGGCGGGGAAGCCCTTAACACTGACACGACGCGTCCCAATGGCGGATAGGGAACATCCTGTCAATATACAGGACAAGTGCGAATATGGTTTTCCAAAAAAGCACCCGCAGATCAACTGAAGACATGGTATGGGGCAGCAGCTATGCCATTACTGAACCAAGGCTACTGAAGAATTGCTTCGACAACCAGCTTTTCATTTAACCAACTGTAACACTGCGATGTATTAGGCAAGGAGAAAACAACACACTAAACCCTCTCAAGATAGTATAATAACGGCAAGTTCTGTAAAACCAAAGGCCCCTAGTTGGTGGCAGACCTTAAGTGGTCAAGGGGTGCTAAGAGTGGCCACTAAAATTGCTAAGAACCACCCGAAAGTTGAACGAAATAAAAATCATAAACTGAAACTTGGTACCTGGAATCCTAAATCACTCTTTTTGTCAACATCGTAACATCGTGAGAGAAATGAAAGGGATGGGAGTCAACGTTCTTGGAGTTAGTGAAGTTAGATTACTACGTTGGCAATGACTATCCTCATCATCATAATGGACTGGCATTTATAATTGACAAGGAGAGTAAAATAATTTGTAAAGTACTTTATAGCTCTATCTGATATGTCGAAAATCCATAGCACACCCCAAAATATTAAGTTTATTCAAGCAGTGAAACTAGAATGTGAGATACGAGATTTTTACCAAAAGATCAAATAGCTCATTGAGATAACAAAGAAAAGTGAGGAAAATGTTATTATGGAAAATTTGAATGCTAAAGTAGGTAAAGGGAGGATTGACGACATCGTTGGAACTTTGGTTTGAATCAAAGAAATCATAGGGGAGAAACACTGATTCAATTCTGCCAAGAAGAAAACCTAATGATCGCAAACTCTTGGTTTCAACTGGCAGTGAGAAAAATATATACATGAAAAGTGCCCGGAGATAATTAAAACACCTTGATTAGAAATCATATTGATTACATATCATTTGACAAGCGTTATAGAAATTGAATCAACGGAGTTAAAACATATCTTAAGCTGACATCGGGTCTGACGACAATCCTGTTGATGGCAATATCTCAATTAAGTTGAAGAAAATCATACACAAAAGGAAGACAGAACTCAACCTCGATAAACTTAAATAACCGGAAATACAAGCAAAAATAAAGAAAACACTCAAAGAAAAATTTAGTGAAACACCAACAGAAATAGCGCAGGCAGTCGAAAACATTTGGAACACTTTCCAAACAAAGATTACAGCCATACAAACAAAAAAATTACAAGACAGTATAGTAATTACACAAAATTCATGGATGTCAGAAAAAATCTTAGAACTGATGGACACTCGAATCTTACAAAAATCAAAATAAAGCGAATTATAAAGAAACACAAAGAGTAATCAAAAGACACATTAGAAAAGCGAAAGAAGGCATGAGACAGGAGATGTGAAGAACTGGAGTACTTACTAAGACAATATGACCACTGTAATACATACAAAAAGATAAAGGAAGTCACAAATACGAAGGTAAGAGTTTTCGTAAATCTAGATCTTAATACTTTAGCAGCGTTTTATACAGCTCTAAATAACGGACTAAATCACTCAGATATAGTAAATGGAAATTCTGAGGAAGTGATAGCTGATTGATATAAGATAACGAAACCTTGTAAATTCTGATCAGCAAATTCAATATCTGCATTTCCGTAATGATTCAGTTAATTTTCACTGCTTTCATCTTCAGATGAGGCAAATATTCTTTCATCGCTGCAACATTCATTTCGCTTTAAGTTTATAAATTTATCTCCAATCATTTTGGCAATTGGCAGATAGTCCCGAAGAATCTTGAAATAGAGTCCATTCACAATGCCAGAATGAATTTTATAGAATTAGACAACCTGAGCACGCACACGATATTGTGAAAACATTGTTGACCAGAAAGTTTTTATAAAATGCCTGTGCACTTTTGTTGTTTATACCAAGATACCCATTATATACCAAGATGCAATCAAATCATCGACTTAATATCTACATTATTTTGTAAGATTATTATCAAAATAAATGAACAGTTTTTAAAGGAACTCTTAATCAAATTTGTTTAATTTTGTTACTAAAGCACGAATTCAAGCGGTGCAGAATTCATTATCTTAATATGTCTCTCCACCCTGCATGCTTTTTTTATCAAAATTAATACTTATAAATGTCCACATTAAGTACGTAGACATTATTTAACAAGATCATATTCTGATATTATAAATTAAAATTTAACTAAGTACTGCTCAATTTATAAAAAAAATATTCCTTACCCTCAACAATCCTTTTTTAACAACAGCTTCTTTCGCACTTTTTGTTAAATCCCCAATAGTAGACTTCCCAACATAAGTTAAATCCTCAATAGTATTTTTACTAACACCAGCTGCCGTTTTACTAGCTTCCAAAGCACTTTTACTAGCTTCGTGAACACTTTTAGCGGCTTCATCAGCTGCTTTCTTTGCATGACTTGTTAACTAAAAAAGAATAAAAATATATTTCGCCAATCACACCTTAAAAAAGCTAAATTACTTTATCAAATGGCGCAAAGATATCTTCATCGCTAAATTTTCCTTTTGCACTACTTTTAAATTTATCCATTTGAGCAAGAATTCCATCCTGGCTACTCTGTCGAGTTGTTTCTTTAACTAATTCTTTGGCTTGCGATGCGAACTGTTCGAAAAGTGAACCTTGAGAACCTTGCCTTTGTACGCCGACACTTCCGCCTGAAGATGGAGCGGGACTTCCATTTCCCGATGAGCTAAAACTGGATGTTCGAGCAAGAACATTTCCCACGCTGGGCTGTCGAGTTAATCCCGGTGCAATTGGCGGAACTGGAGTTATTGTTCTTCCGGAACGAGTTTTACGTACTTTTTCACTCGTATCAGCAGAAACACTCGTAGGCGAATCTTGTTTACTTGTACTAATAATTGTCTTTGGAGTAGTCGTCGAATTAGAATCGGATTCATTTTCTAAACTCCCGCTTTCCTCTTTATCTTTATCTTTCTGAACGGGTTGGGATTCGGTTTTTAATCGATTTGAAAATTCCAACTCGGAATCACGATTATAAGACGGCGAACTCAATTCAGAGTTTGTACTGCTACTTGAAGATTGAGGTGAATCCGGGCGGTTTTCGGGAATATCACCATCTGGATATAGAAGCTCTGAAGGTGGTTTATAAATCGATTGGGGGTCTAAATTTGATGACAAAGACATGTTTTGAGATGCTTTGTGATCTTGATAAGAACCTCCGGGTGACAAATCAGATGATGCCATCTCAGAAACAAAGTCGCTTAACGAGGAATAACTAGAACTTGTGCTTTCACCTTCTTCAGAATCTGACCCACTTTCATCAGTTGGTTGACTTTCTTGATTTTGAATACTTCTCAAAGCACCGTTTAACGAACTTCCATCATCCCAAACAACAAATTTCATCGAATCCAAACAATGCATGTACCATTTTGGTTTATCACCAATTTGAATTGGATCTAAAATCCCTGTTTGAACTCTTTGAAATGCTACGTTACTAGGCGTTAAAGACCATTCCGCCAAAAACTCAACCGCTTGAGTTCTAGCAAATCTGTTTAAAAATTGTGACGTTCTCGGCCGCGAACGCAGAAAACTATTAATTTGTAACGCAACAACCGGTCGTGGATAAAGTCTTAACGTTCTTGTATGTTCAGCAAAATTCGCCAACAAATTTTGCGAATTAAAGAACCTCACCATAGCCACTCTTGTGGCAACATCAACAGAATCAATATCGTTTCCGTAAACTAGAGGGGCGAATGGAGATTGTTGAGATGGCGAAATACTGCTTCTTGGGGAAATCGATGGGGAACCTGCGAAAAGCTTACTGTTGGGGAGGATTGGAGATGGCGATGGAGACGGTGAGACATCAGGAGATTTTCTTGCTGAAGAAACACTAAAAATTAATGAATTAGTATCATTATGAATTAATTTAGATTAGTGTTACCTTAAGGTATTTGGAGCTGGAATACTTTCTCTTCTGGACGGCATCAATTGAGTAGAAGAAGCACTTGGTGTTGATAAACTACCTAGTGCCTAAGATATTTTAATGTTAGTATAAATGATTGAGATTATTAATAGTCTACATATTCATGCTTGATTTACAGAGTGTAATAGAGAATTTTACATTTTTAATCAAGAGTTTATAATTTTTTAAACATTGGAAGTCACAGGATTAGAGTCATTTATGGATATAGATGTATTTATAGATGTTGGGAGTAATGTTAGGATATTGAAAGGCGTTGAGAATCTTTGGATGACGTTGAAACTCTTGAGGAAAAAAGCAATATTTCCCTATCTCGCGCTGTATATAGATTTTGTATATTTTAGCAACTTTATCACTTTCTACTCATTCTAATTTTTTTCATGAAAATTGTGCAGTGTTAAATTTAGATAACTTGCCACTATAAAAATCAAAATTGAATTAAGCTTCTCTCTGTTTATAAAGCTTAAAGCATACTATAATAAATTAATATATAGCATACTTTAGTTAGCTATTTATTAACGTGATATCAAAAATATTCGCCAATAAATTAAAATGAAAGTATTAATTTTCTAAAATAAATTTCTAAGTTTCTCCAAACCTTCTACAACATGCATTTTTATTGAATGTGCAAAAGTGATATTTACTCCTGTGCCCACTTGATCCATAAGTTGCATAGCCTGTATTCATAAAATTTAAAAAAAGAAAAACGAATTTAAAATGAATTCCACAAGAACTTCCTTATTTTAATAAAATATCGACAATTCAGAAGCATATACCAAAAAAGTTATTAAGAAAAATTTGGATTGAAAAAAATGGGTTCAATAACAAATTCTTACTTGTCTTAAATGGTTCTTGAGAATCGTTCCTTCAGGTTCAGGTAACGGGGGAATTTCCCCTTGAGGCAACAATTTATTCGAGTCCAAATCGACCAACCAAACATCATCAGGCAACCGGAAATTTTTCTTGTACATCAAAAAACTTGCGGGTAATCCAATCACAAAAGGCGTTGGTGCCAATAATAACTACACCATCATCAAAAAGAAATAATTCAAAACAAAAAGGTAAAAAAAATCGCAACAAACCTGTTCGGCACAACTCATACAAGTCGGCAATAATGGAATAACCGGAAACATATATTCCAACGGATAAATCATGGTCACGAAAGCCATAACCGACATCGAAAGAGCATTGTAATCACGCGATTGTAACACCACCTTATTTTCCAATAATATCAATGTTAAAACTTTTAAACAAGTATCCACACCCAAAAGTTCCAATGGTAAATGAAGAGGAAAATCAACCAATGTAAATCTGGTATGATCGGGTAAGGCAAAAACTAAAGGCTCGTAAACCGTTGGTGATAAAACCTCGACTTCGACGCGAGTTTTACCCGGAATCGGCACCGGAGCAGATAAAAGTCTTAAAATCCACGTTTCTATTTCACGAACATCATGAAGAACTATCGAAGGCGTTGAGTCACTTGCTTGATTTGTTATTACACTCCATACCGTGTCTCTGGTAATCAAAAAGAAAAGTTTTTATGTAACATAAAAAATTACTTTAGATTAGAGCTTACCTTCCAACCTGTCTTGAAGCACCAACTCTTCTTGGACTTGATGATTCATTACAGGCGTCTATTAATTTCTTTAGAATGAAGAGACATTCACGGAATGTTGAGAAAAATGGATGATGGGATAAAAGGCATAGAGATGTTAAAGAGTGATTGCGAATTCGCTGCAAAAAAAAGTAAATATATTTTCATTTCAAAAGTAGTATTGCAAATAAAACATAAAAGACTTAAAACGAAAAAAAAATATTATATCGCTTTTAACTCGAAGTAAGAAATAGATTGGATTCGAGTAAATAAAATGGAAAAATCAACCAGAAACTGCGCTCCTTTCACAGAAAAACAACATCTGTTTGATGCAATTTTTAAAACTGATTACTTATTTAAAAATCTTTGAAGTTGAAACACATTTTAATTTTCCCCTTCGATTGATTTAGAAAATTTCAAAGAAAAGTAATTAATTTCTTTTAATACTAAATAAAAACAAACCTGTCTCCGTCGACTCGCCCTAGGTGATGGTGAATGACTCCCACCGCTTTCAGAATCATTACTCGGTGCAGTAACTCCTAATCTTGGAGGTTGAGTGAAATTCGGATGGGTTAAAATCTCCGAATCTCTTCGACTCGGACAATCCTTTTCGGAATCACTAGGACCAACATTACTGCTTCTATAATCACTGAAGAATAAAAAAATTAATGATTCAAAAATTATTTAAATTTTTTTTTAAACCTTGAGAAAGCAGAATCTGAACTTTTTTCCATACTTTTCCTCCAAGAATCCCTTCTTAACGTAGAACTCCCTCGCCTTCCAACTCCAATCGTTGAAGGCCCTTTTTCGATGGGCCGATAAAAATTTACGCAAATTCCATATCGAGTTCGTCCCGAATCCTTATCGGTGAGCATAAAAACGAAAGAGGAAGCTTCGCGAAGAGCTGTTCGTTTCGGCCCAACCGAAGAACATCCTTCAGGTTGGCAGAAATAAACCATATCCAATGGCATTGGGAAGTCTTTATGATCATGGGTTGGATATCGTCGTAGAAGTTCCGGAGACTATCCAATTAAAAAATTAATAATAATATAGTAATTTTCCTATAAAAGCACCCTCAACGTCAACTCCAGTTTAATCGTGTAATTTAGTTGAGTTGTAATAATTAGGTTGAGTAACAAGATATTCTGTGTTATATCGAGGTCGTTCTGTCTCGTTACAAATTTAAACTTGCTCGCGTAAGGACGATGTTATTATTGAGAAAGGGGGAAGCTGTTAACTGGGTCGTAAAGTTATAACACGTCGGCGAAGGCCAAGGGCTTAACGAAGGGTAGCTTCTATAAATACTTTCTGTTATCGAATTATTAATAATCTGTTGATTGGAAAGTTATTAATAAAAATACCATTAAAATTTTAAAATTACACAAGAAATAAAGTGATTATGTTATATACACCTGCTTAAAAGGTGCAGATTTAAAAAAGTTAGTTATTTTTTTAATAAACAAACAAATAGTTCAACATTGAAACTAAAAATACTAATATGTTTCTTGTTCTTGAATTATATCAAATCTGTACACTCGAATGAGTTATAAAAGCAAGCTATCAAGTTTTATGTATCAAAAATTATGTCTGTCTTGCAGAAAATTAAAAGATATAAAATACAAAATACCCAACGTAAACTAATTCGCTTTTCTTACAGAAACTTTTCATCAAAACAAAAAACTTTTGAATTATTGAACAGCAACATATCCACATGTGCTTCAATTACAACCATAAAAATTAACGGTGTGGTGTGATGGGGCCATGTTACGGTCAATGGAGTTCGCTATCGTGCCAAACTACTGTTGGCCAAAATAGATTGGACTTGATATGTGGTTCCAATAAGATAGTGGCAGACTACTGAAGAGGAAATAAAATGATCTGGTTGAATGTCCACCTCACTCATGCAATTTAACGGGGTTAGGTTTCTTTTCATGAGGTTACGTTAACTAGTAGATTTATTGTTTGCTGCAAACGAGTTCACAGTCGACTTATACTGGAGTCAATTTCAGCCCAATATCTCAATTATTCTGTGTTTTATTTAAATACAAAGTTGTAGTGTTCTTATTGAACAACTCGTCTTTTCCCATTTGCCTAACACTACCAGAAAAGTAATGGTTATAGTCAATCCAATAAATATTTTAAACTGATTGATTTCCATATGGACCAAATGACGGCAACAACCTTAACTTGACAGCGATTCGGGAATATATTATTAGTGAACCGAGTTTCGATCGCAGAACATTGTCAGACAGCAAGTTTGACTGGAACGAGATGCCAAGGAATAACGCATGTATCTTAGGATCAGCTCAACGTTCAAATAAAGCTCACAAAGAACAAAAGGCTAAGAGCTAGATTGAAAAGTTCGCTCAAGAACCCACGTCTGTCATTGAATAATTGCAGAACTTGGAACAATATTAATCGATCGGGATCAATCGGGATAGATTCAATTCAATAAATACTTTTGAAAACAACCTAACACAACTTAAGTCATTTTATTCAATTCAACTCAACCGATCCAACCTTGTTTTATAGGCAGAATGTCTGCTATACAAACGTTAGGCTTTTAGATTGTCCGGACAGTATCGAGTTGGGGTTCCTTTCCTGTAGGATCCTCAATCAGCTAAGAACATCCACGGCATTTAACTATTGTTGTCCATTGTTTTCTTCAAACTAAGAACATTCCTAATACTTTCAGGTTAATCTAATATTTTCCATTTTTCAAACCTTTTCCTACTTACTTTATTCGCCTACTTTCTTCAATATGTCTTTGCTGTTTTGCAACTGTTTTCTACTTCTACCCCATATGATCATACAGTTTAGTTACTTTCGTGTTATATCGTATTGTGTTTTCCATGCGTATCCGTTTGCTTGTTATAGTGTTCTCATATTAAGTTCAGTTTAAGATTAACTTAAACTGGTAAGATTAAAATTGCTCTGCGGCTGTAAATTCAATCTATCATGGCGGAATCTCACTGAAGGTAACAAATGATAACAGAGGCATAGCTTGCGGAAACGAATTTCGTAGCTAAGGAAGTGAAACTAGAATAAGACAATTCGTAAAGCAGAAACTTTATCATAGAAAATCTGTGAAAATCAACCTCAGCAATTTTGAACTCATTTAAGCGGTTTTGAGCTTCTAATACAGACTTACTTTCCAAATTCATGAAGAACAGTATGAACAGTATGAAGTCATTTATGTTAATATGAGTAATTCTATTTTTCACACACCATTTGGTGAGTTGGTCTATGATTAATCGATTGCAACATTCAAATCATTCAAGTCGAATGGAAAAGATGAAATCTTTTCTCTGTTATTATTTTTACTTTTTCTGGTAAAAACGTAAAAAATGTAGTTGCAGAATATGTAAAGAATCATTGGAGTAAGGTTAATAACAATTCCAAATTGCAAAGGATCAACTGGATTGTCACTCTAAGTGCATCTGTTTAAAAGGGCTAAGAAAGAATAGTTTGCAAGATATCATTACTTAACATATTAATTCAATGCATTATTATAAGCCAATATCATGTAATGAAATCGTATACACAACTTATATCATAAGTCAGATAGTATTAAGATCGATTTAGAACAGTACTCAATCTTGACCAAGGCTTATATAGGTTCAACCGCTTATCGTTGCCAATCCTTTTGGACCACTTTCTCTGTTACCTTTTCAAGATATATACGCATGAGTTGTTTCTTTGTCTAATTAAGTTCTTCTAAAAGATGTTTTTTTACCTTTTTTTCATGCCTCACAGTTTGTTACTTCTATGTACGGTATGGTGTCAATATAACGGTTTAAAGTTCAATCTGACCATACAAAACGTCCAGAAATGCAGATTATGAAAAGGACCAAAAGCGACTCCACAACCCATAGAATAAATTTATGTTAAATAAAGAATACAGTGAATTTTATTTATCTTAATATGAACAAAATTAAGAAAAGAGAATACAACATGGAGACTATAATCCATACTGCGAGAAATAGAGAAGAAATGAAAAATGTGATCGCAAACATTCGTTAGTGGATAAACATTGCAAGAAGAAGAAGAATGTAAGCCACAATTAGTTGGGACCTTGCCATTAAATTGTAAGTTGAACTCTAAAGAAATTGCGAACAAGACAGAAATAAGTTAAAAAAGAAGGAAATATTTGCTCAGGAAAATGAGCCAATTCATTAAAAATAATTACCATAACAAGACATCGTAGTAAAAATATTGAAACTGATGTATCAAATGAAATATTATTCTCATTGCCTAAAAAGAGGTACCAAGTGATTCCGTGAATCGATTCTTTCTTGATATCGTCACTAACATTTTCAGAATGTTCCATGTATTTAATGACTGGGTTTTAATACCTTGCATAGCTTCCAAATAAGTAGGTATAGATGCGTTTCCCAAAACATCGTCTGATTCAGGGGTATCTTCAGCGCGATCGACTTAATCTTTATTTAATACACATAATGTCCTTATCGCTAGGGATTTTCGATATAACAGGGTCTTTGTCAGTATAAATGAAGATTTCCAAATCAGGTAATTTTTATGTTGCAGATGGACTTTCAACATGACTTTGCAAACAGTCATAATTACTACCGTTGTTTCCTCATAGTCATTCAGCAGCGATGAATTTAACATTTTTATAACTGAGGAATGTTAGAAGCAATTTCTAATTCGTTCTTGACTAACAAAAAATTTTTTAAGTGTTGTGTCGAGTGTACCTCCGGTTCTGTCCTCTGGCCGTTATTGTACCTATTTTATACGTTTCAGCTTTGCTCCGGCTTAAAATATTGTGATTATCATATGTACGCTGACGATACTCAAATATATTATAGCTTTAAATCTGATGAAGATAAATACTGACTTGGACAATTTAGCAGTATATGTTTCTCGGCTCTGTCTAACGGTTAACCCTTCCAAATCCTCAGTGGTTATTTTTGGGCCCAGCAGTGGCAGATTGATGGATGACTTACCTTTGTCAAACAATTTTCATCTGATTTGATTTTCCTTGCTGACCATTGTGTTGTAATTTGGAATAAAGATATACTAATGTGCACTTAAACAATAGACTTTTATATATTACTAATTACACCTTGAACGGTTTCGCCTTTTAAGGCATCTTCAGAAGGCTTCGTCAAAATTATCGAATATTTAACAGCTTGTTGAGTTGTTTCGCAGAAAACATATTAAGGTCAATAATCACACCAAACAAAAAACAAAAATATCACCAAATTGTGATAGAAAAATATAATATAACCGAATGATGTGTGGTGGTGAAATCACGTTGTACGTTTGTTGACAGTTTAGAGGTTATGCAGGCGAAAAGTTCTGAGAAAAAGATGTGTTTGGAGAATGTGGCTGTTGGTGGCAGGAGGCACATATACTCAGAATTTTTCACCTGGATAACCTCTAAACTGTCAACAAACGTACAACGTGATTTCACCACCACACATCATTCGGTTATATTACATTTTTCTAACTTAATTTGGTGATATTTTTGTTTTTTGTTTGATGTGATTATTGACTTTTATTTATTGACTTTCATCTGGTTCTGCAAGACGCTAGACTACCGACTTCCTCTGAAATTAGCAATCTTGGTGTTATTATGGACTCTCGTCTGAGGTTCAAAAAACATATTAGTAGGCTTGTTAACTCCGCATATTGCACTCTGAAGCTACTTTATAACAATCGACGTATACTACACCGCCGACTTAGAGCTCACTTATGTGAAGCACTAGTGCTCTCTGTTTTCAATTTTGGCGATGCTCTTTATAATTCGTGCATTGATGCTGATGATATTCGCCGAATTCACCGGGTTCAAAATGCGTGTCTTCGTTTCATATTTGGCATCAGAAGGTACGAAAGGATATCGCATACTTTGGGGTGGATTGGTTGGTTGAGTATGTTGCGACGTATGTTGCGACATAAACATTCTGCATGTTTATTTCATAAAATTATTATTCATAAATCTCCGCTTTATCTTTATATAATTACGTTTAGAACCGATGTCCACAACCTTAACATTAGACCCAGGCATACTTTAACGATACCTAAACATCGTCTAGAAATTTTTAAAAAATCCTATTCTATTGTGTCTAGTGTTTATAATTCAATCCCAAATGAAATTAAGTTGGGGAGTGAGCAACGTTTCAGGCGTAAACTTAAGGAGCACTTGCTGGCTCGACAGGTGACGGAAGCGGGTTGACCTTTTCAAATATTTTGTCGGAGAATAGTTGTCATAAACAACTATTCTTTTGTTTTTTCTTTTTCAATAATACTTAGTTTTTGGCCTTGTATTTCATTTCAGCTTGTGTTTTTTTTTCATTACACATATGTATACTACTTCTTTTTCTCTCGTTAAAAAGGATCGATGAAAAACTAACACTGTTTTTCATCTTAATGGTAAGACTGACTCGATTCTTTTTGGCTCAGAATTTATGTAATTTCTTTTAATTTTTATTATTGTTGCCAATGTTTATTATTTAGTTTTATTTTTATTATTGTAGCAATGCTTTTTTTTTCTCTGAGTCAATAAATGTTTATTATTATTATTATTACTGTATTCCTAGCTTGCGCCAACATTTCGGAATCCAACAAAGACAATAAAAATTTTTCCCTGTCATCTGGCCATTTAATCAATTTTAATAGTAGATTTTTATGGCACTGTGCTTTGCGACATTAAATTACGCTTTGACCCATGGGTTGCAAAATGGAGATTTACACATCACATTTTTCGAATGTAACAACTTTTGGTGAGCAAAATTTTCTGATTTCGTCCCAGCTCTTCATTCCACAACAAAAGTTCACTTTGAAAAATAGTTGCAAGCATCCATGAATTCTGATTAACTGCATATATAATCTTCGGGGATTTTCGAATTTTTTGATAACAAGCTTAAACTTTAGGGTACGACCAGAAATAAGTTTATAAAACAATCCTGTTTCGTCCCGATTGAAAACATCATCATCGCTGGAGTTTCTGATTAGATCAGCCCAAATATGCTTTAACCAAGTAGTAACGACATCTTTATTAACTTCAGCTGTTTTTCTAGAAACTTTATCATTAACGCTATTATGTTTCGCATTAAATCTTTCCAACCATCCTATAGTACATTGAAAATCTTGTCCATCTAGCACATTTTCAAACTCTAGCTTTTGTGTTTACTCACTAACATATTTAAATTTGTTTTAGCTTGGAACTACCTTAATAAAGCAGATTTATCTTGATGTATTTCAAGTATTTTTTTTTTCTGTTGCTTTATATCATAAAAGCCTGGTTTTCGCTTCAAAAATTCCACTTTTTTTTCTTGTATAATCCCCACCTTTTCTTTCAAATCTCACGCTTTACGCTTGCTTACATTCTAGACCGACATGTTTACAAGTCGACCTCGTATACGTCAAACTGATACGTCCCTAGTAAACAAAGATCGGAGACTTCGGGAACTTTCCTAAAGTTTACGCACTTTTGTTGGTTAGATACCGTACAACTAACCAACAACAAATAAACTCTAAGGTGAAAATACTCGAATCAAGTAGACGTTATAGTAGTTATAAGCAAGTGAACTTCGACAGATAGAAAAAAACATACGCTAAACGAACATTACTGTATTTTGTTTTAAAAGCAGAAAAGCGTGGCATCGCACGACGTACTCGTGTTTAAAGCGAAGGAAGGTTGTGAGGTATCACAGTTACACCTCGCCGTAATAGAGCTTCTTAAAAACGTGGTAAGGTATGCCACGCGGAGCTCAACGTGTTAACAAACCTTTGTGGTTGCAACCAATGTCTCGGATTTTGATATTAGTGTAGTATTGCGCCGAGGAAGACTTGGAAATGAGAATCCCACAGCTTATGCATTAAGGATGCTATCATCTATCTTCTTTCGTTTAACACTGTTAGGCCTTACATTTACATAGTAAAGCTCAAATTGATTATCAATTCACAATTCATAATTTGAAAGAATATAACTTTAAATTACAAAGAAAGTGCATCTCGAAGAGTTTGATTGTTAGGTAATATATTAAAAGATATATTAATCGATTTAACCAAAAAACTGGAATATGTCTTATTGATTGACGACATTCAAAACATTTCAGATTTTGAATCCATAAAAGTTGAAATCAATCTAAGAGTAAAAACGCTATTCTTTAGCAAGGCTAAATTAAACTGAGTTAAATAAAGGCGCAATATTAAACAATGCCTATCCGATCGTGGTGTATATTATTTTTTTATATCGTTAAAATGTTTTGTTAATATTTGTTTTTTAAAATAAACCGGAAAAACTAATATAAATGCCTACCTAAAAACTATGAGAATAATAAAATGTAGTTGGAACAAAAACTTTGTTGTATGAACTATTTAATAAAAATGTTTGACCTATTTTAATTACCGTGGAATGTTTGCGCAACTTTAGTTGGAAATGTAAAAAGTAAATCAGAGTTATTGTTTAATATGTTTTGAAATACCTTTTTGCCATTAAATCAATACAATCACATTTCGTATTACACCATCAAAATATCGTGATGGCTGCTTTAAGATTTTCAATAAATAACGAACGACTTCATTTTTATCTATTCTATAATCCGGAGATATAAGTTGAAAAGCATACAATGAAAGTTAATTAAGGGATTTTCTTGAAAATAAATTCTTACCTGAATAGAAGGGTTTGTTGAAGGCCTGCAGCTGTTTGCAGGCTTGACCCCGACAATAGCCAAGTAGTCTATAAGTCGGGGGCACAAGAATTGCCTTTCAGCGTCCAAGGACATTCTGCTCTCAAATGGGTCACCTCTTTTCCTTAGCTACGGTTCCATGGGGATCTCCAAGGATGCTTCTATGTCGTTTGTACGACTCCGACCACATTTTCACGGCTCGAATCTAATCTAAAATTAACATTGGAAATCGAATTTCTAACTTACAACGATCAAAGTATTGATTTTTAACTTTAAAAAAAAAATTATTTAAGTCAAAACTACCAAAATAAATTGATTACATAAATAAGGAAGGAAAGGAGTCCAAAAATGACCGGATGTGATGTGGTTAAAAAATTTTATCACATCACTGACCCAGTTTTTTTTAATTTAATTTTTAGTTTTAATTAAAAAATATCTTTAGAAACTGTAAACAATAATAATACCTTTAAATGTACAATTCGTGTCAAAATCGCTAACATACACATCCAGCCTTATCAGCTTACACGTTTCGCTCTAATAATCAATAATGAAACGAGTCGTAGTAGGACTTACACGTTTACAACTTGACATCAATTTGTATTTTGATTTCAAAATTATCAAAAAACAGCAATAAATTAAGTAACCAATTTAACATTTTTATCATATAACTGTAAAAAATTAAATCTTGAAGGAGAGACGCCGAATTTAACCCCTCTATAGGCTTTGCGATCAATAACACAAACCCTAGAAAGACTCTCTTTAAAAATCACGCTTACATTTAACAGAAACAATCTAGTTTTAACACCAAAATGAATTAATTACCATCTCGTGAATTCGTTTAAATAATAACTTTAACCGATTACAACAACAAAGTAAGCAATGAATTGGTTAGGATATTATTTATAATAAACGAAAATGATTTTTATTGTGCAGCTATCGCATAATGTCGAAAAATCAATAATTTTGGGGTAATTAGATGGTGAAATGTGGTTATTTTATTCAAAAAGAGATATATGCAAGTACTTACCATGTCAAGAACTGAAAACTACTGAACGAAATGCCCGGAAAACGCCCGTAGTGGTGGAAACTCGGAAAATTGCACATGCGCCGAAGAAATTTGCTGGAACGGCATCACGTTTGGATAACATTTTTGGATGACGCAAGTTTCATGAGGAATGATTAAAGGAATTTTAATATCTGAAACGAAATTAAACGTAATAAAACTAGAAAGATATAATGAAAAATTGAGAACTATAAAAGAAAACAAAATAACTAAAAAGATAGTAAAGGAGTTGAAAATTGAAACTACACGTGTGGTGAATCCAATTTACGTAGGAGTTCGACGTAATCCGATTTAAATGTGTTTAGACTTAAGAAAACAATCAATTTAAAATTTTCATTTAAGCTTCTTTTAACCCCTACAAAGTTAACTCCTAATTAGATAGGATTTTACATGTATAGTATTCTGATTGTAACAAGAAAACAACTGAACCGATTTTGGAGAACAATATCTTATTGAAAACCTTAATTCTTAGCCAATACGAAAGTAGCATTTTAGACAAAAAGTTTTAGTATAAAAGTTATAGCAAATTTTATTCTTAACAATATTGTTCTAGTATTTTCTTCCTCTTACAATCAGATGCATAAATTTCGAGATAAATTGAAAAAGGTGATAATTAGATGAAATCGTGATTTTACATGTTGGTAAAGCACGGAATTTGGAACGTTTTAGAAAAAAGGTTTAATATAAAAGTTGTAGCAAACATTATTCTTAACGACATTGCCCTTTTGCTGTCAGATGCATAAATATCTAGATAAATTGAAAAAGGTAATAATTAGATGAAATCGTGATTTTACATGTTGTTGGTAGAGTACGAATTTGGAACGTTTTACAAAAAAGGTTTAATATAAAAGTTGTAGCAAACATTATTCTTAACAACATTGCTCTTTTGCACTCTTGCTGTCAGATGCATAAATATCGAGATAAATTCAAAAAGGTGAAAATTAGATAAAATTGTGATTTTACATCTTGTTGTTGGTAGAGTACGAGATTCGAAACGTTTTAGAAAATAAGTTTTAGTATGAAAGTTTTAGCAAACATTAGTCATAACAATATTGCTGTTTTGCACTTTTGCTATCAGATGCATAAATATTGAGATAAATTCAAAAAGGTGAAAATTAGATGAAATCGAAATTGTACGTCTTGTTGTTGTTAGAGTATGAGATTCGAAACGATTTAGAAAATAAGTTTTAGTATGAAAGTTTTAGCAAACATTAGTCATAACAATATTGCTCTTTTGCACTTTTGCTATCAGATGCATAAATATTGAGATAAATTCAAAAAGGTGAAAATTAGATGAAATCGAGATTGTACGTCTTGTTGTTGTTAGAGTATGAGATTCGAAACGATTTAGAAAAAAAAGTTTTAAAGTTGTGGCGAACTTTATTCTTAACAATATTGCTCTTTTATACTTTTGCTCTCAGGTGCATAACTATCGAGAAAAATTCGAAAAAATTGAAAATTGGATGAAGTCATTGTTGGTAGAGCACGGGATTCTGAACGTTTTTGAAAAAAGTGTTAGTATAAAAGTTGTACTTCAAATCGAACATTTCCACTTTCGCGTTGATTGAGGATTAAGCTTTCGAATGAGATATTGTTCATCAAAATTTGTTGAAAAGTGCTCCTGTTATAACCAAAATACTATACATGTAAAATCCTATCTAATTGGGGGATATCTTCAAAAATAAATCAAAATTGGGACAATATTTTCTTCTTAAATTTACTTGTAACAAAATAAAAACTAAATTATTACTTAAAATAGACCAAAATAATTTCCATTATAAACGGAAAAGTTTATATCAAATCTATTGTTCACTATACAAACAAAAAAACTAAAATATAAACTACTTAAATTTAAATTTAACATCAGTACTCTAAAACATCCTCATTTACAATGATTTCTAAAGAAGAATGTAAAAAAGTTTTAAACGCCTATAACAACAAAACAAATTTTGAAAAATACACCATAACAAAATTTAATTCAGTTTTAGGATTTCTCGGTGATCACAGTTTATTAAAAATATATTATTCCGAATGTAACATTAAAAAGAATACAACCTTTTTTTTAAAAACGTTTCCGAAGCCATCAAAAGAACACGTCGATTATATCAAAAAATTAGGAGTTTTCCAAAAAGAAGCGCTCCTATACTCAAATTTAATCCATCATTTCCAAACATATTTCGATAAAGCATTTTCTCCGAAAATGTATTTAACAGATAACAAAGAATTTATTATTTTGGAAGATTTAAACCGATTGGGTTACGAAAATATTCCAGGAAAATCGTTGGATTTAAACCACTTAGAAGCAGCTCTTAAAAGTTTAGCTTATTTACACGCATCTTCGATCATTTTTGAAGAAAAACGACGAGAGGTAAATGAAAATTATCAATTAATCGATGAGTTTTGCGATGAATTCAAAGAAGTTTCGTTTTCGCCAAACGAAGAACATCCCAGGAATAAACTGAGTAAGAATATTTTAAAAGCCGTTTTGGATTGTATCGAAACAATTCCTGAATTAAAAATTTACAAACAACAAACTTCAAAAAATTTTATTGAATTTATCGAAGAAGATGTTTACGAATTAATTAAACCCTCAAAAAGATTTCGAAACACCATAACCCATTGTGATTTATGGAGCAATAACGCAATGTTTCGAAAAACCAAAAATAACCTGGATTGTATTTTAGTTGATTTCCAATTTGCTAGATACATTCCTTCCGTTTACGACGTTTTATTAACAATGTATTTGAATTTATCTTACAAGGATTTAAACGATAATTTTAAAAGATTATTAGATTTTTATTACGAATGTTTAAAAAGAACTTTGGAAAAGCACGAAATTGAAATAAAAATGATTATATCGTATCCCGAATTTTGGAAATGCGTCGATTTTTATAAAAGATTAGCTATAGTTGAAGCAACTTGGTTTGGAACTATCGCTTTTATTGGAGATGATTTAGGACAAAAAATTAGTTTGGATGAAGATATTTTTAGGGAATTTTATTATTTTAATAGAAGCAAACATTTATTGGAAGAAATGAAAAGGAATGAAGAATACAAGGTGAAAATAACCGATTTATTAAGACACATTGTTATTTTATTTAAATAAAACAAGTTCAAATGAGTCAGTTATAACTGATGAACATGAATAAATTTGTATAAATAATTTTTGAACTTTAACTATACCTAAAACGAATTCCTATTTAAAAAAAGTCACAAAAAACTTTTTAACATAAAAAGCAGTTGTTGAAAATATCTTTTTGTTCTTGAGGATAAAATGTTTAAGCACAACAAAATTTATATTCTGTCTTTAAAGCAGAGTATTTAACTTTAAACACTTTAAATGTAACGTTTAACACTTGATAGTATCAACATTTATAAAGGAGATTATAACCTTTAAAAAAGATCGTTTTTAAAAAATCACTCCTTTATTGAGATATTAAACTGTATTAATTCTTTTTCGCTTTTTTAAGAGAGAGAAAAAATTTTATGTTCGGATGTAACAAACAATCCTTCAAAAAGCATACAAATACAATCCGTAAATATAATAGAACAACAACATGTCCAAATATATATGGCTATCGACCTTGGTCCTTCTGCACGAAATCAGTGACATTGTCGGATTAGTCATTAGTCTTCTCTATTTATAAATACTTTCTGATAGAGTGTTAAATGATTACTATGGGATTACATGGAACGTAAGGACTGTGCTGCAGACAAGAAAGGTGATAGAGACTGGAGATGCTAAAGTATAGAGTAGATAAGAAGAATTTTTCAATATTCTATAGTGAAAGACCAGATAAGACAGGTCATAATGGAACGGGTTTCTATGTTTTCAGTAAAATTAAAAGGTCAGTGATCTGTTTCAAGTGGGTATGTGCCCATAGAAGAAAGTGATGATGAAGAAGAGGACGTTTTCTATTTTCTATAAACTGGAAAAAGGATGCGAGAGAGATACGGGACATGATTTACTGATGATAGTGGGAACAGAAGTAGCGGGAAAGTTCACCCTGTATAATGAAACAAGCCTGAACGAAACAGTACTGTACCAAATGGTAAACGCCATAGCAATGAAGGTAAAAAGCACAGATTTTCAAAGAAAGGACACGTATAAGGGTACATGGCAGATTCCAGAACCAACCAGGACGAATCAAATTAATCATGTGCTTATCGATAATAAATGTGCGAACATGCAGAGAGGCAAACTGTGACCATGACAACGCGCATGGCAAAAAAATAATGAAATGGAACACAGACGCACTGAAAAATGAGATTATCCTACATGTATGCCAGCAAGATATCAGTCTGTGAGAACGAACTTAAGTGAAGATATAGATAATAATAATAATAATAATCGCTTTATTGCCTCACAAAAATAAATAAATACAAGAAGAAAAAGTACAAAAAATCGCAAATAAAGAAAAAAGATTATAATATAATAAATACAAAATTAACTTGAATAAGAATGAAGAATGAAATAACATCAAGAGGGCTCTACAAGAGATAGCCACCTTATTAGATAGGTAACCTTACTGGATAAAAGTTGTCGGCGAAAGCAGATAGGAGTAATTTTGGTAAAGCTGTAGAGGACGTCGTTACAAGAATTGATAGAAATCGATCTGACCGCCGCGCATTCTGTAACTTCTAAGTGGTACTTTGACCCTCTTGACGCGTCATGAAAGATAATCGATTCGTATTCGATGATTGGCTACATAGTTCTTGACTTTCATCGTTACTTTGATGGGGTAAGCAGAAAAGTTACGGCTTCTGCCAAAGGTTACGCCCAAATATTTGCAGATTAATGTGACTGTAATGGTGGACGATTGGATTGTTATATCTGGAGAAGCAGCATACATTGAGAGTAAAGGAACAGAAAACTGAGTTTTCAATGCAATTTCTGCAACCAGAGAAATTTAATTAAAAAAAACCAGTTGAATTTGAAGATCCTTGTGAATGACTTTGTTGTATAGAAAAAGTGCGGAAGTAGAGGTTTCTTAGTTTTACGAATGTATGAATGATATAGAATGCCTTTGTACCACACCAAATCAAAAGCCTTCCAATAACTCCGCAGCAATCTGGCATTTTACTTAGCGGGCCACGTGGAAGTTCGAAACAAAAATTGACAGAGGATGCAACAACTCATCCTCAAAAATAATTTAATATGTCATGACGAAAAAGTAAATATGGAGAAAATGACAATACCGTAAACAAATTTGAGCACAAGTTCATTTCAACTGGTTATATTTAGCGATTTTTTACATTTTGGAATTCGCAAATGAAATTAATGAACGCTCATGACTCGAAACTTGGAATCAGATTCACTTAAACTGTTCTACCTAGGGCCGGTTGTACAATATACCCATAAATCTGTCTGATAACTATCCGGTCGATAAACTTATCGAGAGGATAAAGATATTCGCTGTTGTTCAAACTGTTTTTGTCGGGCGGATTGCTATCGGCTAAATAAGACTTGGTTGGTAGTACTTTTTCCCCATATCTAGTAATTTGTGCCGTAAATTGGTAACGCTAACATCTTTCTTTGGAATTTGAACTTATTTTGGCTATAATAACAATTGTGTAAATTGTGCAATTAGCATTTTGAAAAATATCGAAAAATGTTTAATTTGTACGATACTAGTACCAGCAGCGAGTCCGATAATGAATTTAGTTAATGTTTTTAAGTAAAAGAAGAGAAAAATAAATTAAAGAACGACGTAACCACATGGAACGGGATGAAACGGATTTTTTAGACGGTTTCGGTTAACAAAAAAAAGTTAAGACAGAAAGAATTAAAAAAAATTAACAGTTTAGATTAAACATGCATTTCTCATAAACAGAGTTAAACACATACATATATTATAATTGGTAAAATAATTAACCTAAACAATTACTGTCAAATTGTGATGGTGTTCCATCGCAGCTCAGTGTTATCAAATTTCTCGTTCTTTCATGTAACGGGTTTAACTTTTCTTCACATGGACCTCCACCAGTACTCACCACATCTTTTGCCATGCCGCTTTCTAAAATACAAGATATGTGATAAATAATTACCAAGTAGGTTATACCTTCTCTTTCCAAATGACAGCATCTGTTTTTTTGTTGTCTATAATATAAGCTAGATTTTCTACTATTTCAATTAATCGCCAACACTCCTCTGTGTATAATTAGTAGCACGTTTATTTTTTTCCTTCCAGAACAACAAACTAACCAAACTTTTTCACGACAGACAACGTTTGTCAATGTTGTTATATAAAAACCTTGGTAAGCATATGTACGTATCTGGTGGATAACCGTCTTATCGGCTCTGAGTACTCGATAAGTTATCCTGTCAATAGTTTCCCCGACAAAAATATTGTTGTGTAGTAGCGTTATTTTATTATTACTTTATTGTATTAATTAATTATTAATTCTAGTATAATGAACTCTTGTTTTTCTTTAATTTTTCTTAGAAATATGCCTCGCGATCCGAACTATGTTCTTTGTTCGGATTCTTAAGAAATAAATGCCGATATCGCATTTACAATCACATACGATGTTTCGATCCTAGATCGTGTGATACCGTTTCAGCAATTTGGTATCCTCTTTTTCATTGGTCAGTTGTGACATACAACATCGTACCACTATTGTCTATAAATAGGGAAAGATCGGGAGGAGAGAGGACTTTTTACTTAACTTCTTTAATTCGTACTTGTTTATTACAACTTCGTTACGACGTTCATTTTATCTTAAGTTACCAAACTGGTAAAGAATTATACTGTCTAGTTATTAAAATAAATAAAAGTTAGTTAAGGAGTTTTGAGATTTAATCAACCCCTTCGAACTCACAACAATATCCATACATTGTAATACAGTACAAACTAACTTATCGGCCAGACAACGCTGTCGGGAAGTTTATCGGTATATTGTATAACCGGCCTTAATTCAGCTGAAAAAAACTTCGAGATTATGAGATTCTCGAAAATATTCTTCGGTGTCGTGATTTCCAGAACGATCGATTAATTGTTGCTCAGCACCTTAATTAACACGTTTGGTGTAGCAAATCCATGCCCCATCGTATGGCTACCACCCAGGAACCAAAAAGAACATCCTTCCAATTATGTGTTAGGCCTAGATTAGCAGAGGATTCAACAGTATTATTGCTGGATATGTGTCACTCAGTAGACGTCCACTTCAAAATAAAGCTCTCCAAAACAGATATTTATCGAGTAATCGGTTATTGAGGCATTTGCAACACTTACCACGGAATCAATATATTACACTATAATGAGATTATATCGGCACTATATCATCAGGTCGATCCTATACAGCATAGAATGTAAGAAATTAAGATATGCATATTTATCTCGCTGATGTAAACAAACTTGCATGGGTTCATCATCTGGACAACTTGCTTCAACTGCGAGGTCATTACAATACGAGCTGCCGAAATTAGACGAATGGTTATAAAAAGAAAGGCCAGAAATCCATCACGTGTGCGTTCACAGCAGGTAAAAATGATACGATAATAATTAAAACATGATGGAGAGAACCCGCAGGACACCAATGATTGAAGAAACTAACTCATAGGTCAGCGTATAAAAATACAGAGCACTGCAAATCCTGTGAAAGTTAATGATCTGTGACCAATACCACAACCACAATAACACCGTCAGCTCTCGCGACCTCTTGAAGTGGGGAGTAGTACATTATTTATTCCAGGAATGGCGTTGCTTATGCGGAACTAAGATACCTTAAATGACCAACTTACTAGCAATTTTACCTAGAATTTCATCTTGTCATGTTAAACCGATATTGACATATGAATTCAGAAGGTGAAAATGTGTTGGAGCTATCCCACAGAAAACCATCAATTATTGAAGAAACGAGGCACGTCCCCATTTTATAAAGAAGCAACGGACCGCAGATCTTGTGAATGTACACATAAATAATTTTCGACCAGCACCACAGTGACCAAGCACCAACGGAGGAAACCACCAATGATTGTAAAAACAAGGCCAATCCTCTTTGTATAAAGAAGTCAAGAACGATGGATCAGCAGTTATAACACCGTCAACCTCAGCTCGCGACTCCTTAAGGAAGTGAATATTATCAACATTCAGTATGCATTAGAGACCGATATAAGTTATACAAGAAGACTAACTCATCATTAACGTCCACATATACAATGTCTCTGTATCTAAGTGTTATCAAATATAATGTACCATCAAACTAAGGTGAATCAGGACATTTTTCAGGACTTATGCTGTAAGAGACGGGGCTATGGGGTTAATTGGGGCATCTAAAACATTTTTAAAAATATTTTTCATTTACTTCATCAAAAGTAAGAAAAATAAACTGTATTGCGTAAAAAACCTTACAGTGGAATAATTGTTATTATTTATTTTCACAAAGCTTTTCTGTGAGAATATCCTTATGTCTCCTGCAAAACAGCTTAACCCCAATCGCACCGTCCCGATTAACCCCCGAGTCCCCATTCATCTCGGTTGACGGTATATAAAGAATCTATATATACATATGAATAACTAAAGCAGGTCAAACAATTTATATTTTTTGCAAAATTCTTCGGACATATTAATTTTTATTTGCCATGCTTAAAAAAGTTGATCTTTTTTCGTTTCAAAAGATATAAGAATAATTTGCTATACCATTCTACGTAAGCCTCCAAAGAATTCTGTTCAAATTCTAGAAAAAGGCAGAGAAGTATAACGTGAAAACCTCAGCATAAAACACGCATTCCCAAACAATAGCAAAAGAACCAAGATGGTGGAAACTAGCGGTTTACGATCGTACTATAAATCAGGTCATACGGTTGAAATATCTCGGAGCAATAGATTCCTAGTAGTTACAATCCCATAATGATGACATCATAAGAGACTTGTAATAGAAACCTGAAAAAAGAAATCAGAACACATACCACAAGTGCAGCGGTGGTATTAGGATGCCTCCGAGACGTTATATGGAGGAACAAATACTCACAAACAAAAAATAAGGTGAGGATCTATAAGACAACTATAAGACGGGTGCTGACATATGCCCTTGAAACAAGGATATAAAACATCACAATCAAAAGACTTTTCAGAACCACAGAGATGAAAACACTTCGAATAATTGCTCGCTGTTTTTACGAGAAAATATGGGTTGTAGGACATAGTCAGATTTTTGTTTCATTATTATGAGAAGGGTTGTTTGTAGGATTTCTCCCCTATTTTAGTTTAGTGAAGAACGTTTTCAGTGATTCGAGTTTGTGTCGACTAATCATAATCTCAGACGGAAAAAAGTCCGAAATGTAGCGGGGAAGTTCGACGATAGAAGAGAGAGAGTTCGGAGTTTTTGGAGTTCGGCCGGGGATTCCCAAGAGCTCGTAGTTTGTGGTAGAGATGAAGGGTTAGAGTTTCTAGAGAGGAGTTTAATAGAGAAGGTCGCCAGAAGAAGCTTCGAGTTAGCAGTGAGTTTTGAGTAGAAAGTTGCCAAGACCAGGGATGCATTTAGAGAAGTAGTTCAGCGGAAAGAGTAGTTTCCAAGGAATCAGTTCATAGCAGTGCCAAAAGCAACAAAGTAGTATAGTCTAGTCCAGTCAAGAAGGAAGTGCAGAAACCAGATGAAGAAGAATAGAGTTGAAAAATGTGGATTTCGGCCAGAGAAGTTACTCCTAAAACTCGTTGTAAAATGAGATTTGTTTGGTATTTCTTGTTCGGAATTTGTGATAGTATTGACAATTAAATTCATGATTTTTTGCCAAATTTTATAACTGCGTGACAAATTTGTTTGTTGAATACTCAATTGAACATCCACACGTTACTGCAAGAGCCGCTTCTTATAAATGGAAAGACCATGTCGGGAGAATGCTAAAACACAGATTGCCGAAAATCGTCAGAGGGAAAATCACATGGGACCAGACCTCCTAAACGTTCCTCAATGAAGTGGTACGAAAGCTGGAGCTTAGTATACCAGCTGGGAAACACAGATGGCCGAACTAGGAAGGAAAAAGAGATTCATAATCATATAAGAAAATTTGCAAAATAGATTACATTAAAATTTGTTTCAAATTTGTTTAGAATGATAAAAATAACAATAATAGGTAACCAAACTTTTAAATAATTTAAATAAGAAATAAAATAAATAGTTAAAACAAAGTTAAATGTTCACATTGTGCAACCTTCATAACTTAATCTAACCAAGACGTTTTTAAATTTTCCTAACAATTAGCTATGAGATTAAGAGTTACTCTCTGAACTTCGTCTCAACTTCTGATTTAGTTCATCCAAAGTATCATCTCAGAAAGAAATGTAACTGAATTAAATCTTATGATTTCGGTAAAAATTCAATTGTTCCTCTTCTTCCAATACAACTATTGAAAATTGACTTGATTAAATAAGCTCGACCGGGATATGCCGTTCCCGTTTGAGCTTATTTAATCAAGTTAAATGAAAAAAATAGTTATTATTTAACCTCAGTTCGATCAAAATTATCTGAAATCTGTACTATGAAAGCAATCACGTCAGTTTGAAAAAATGCAAATATATTTCCTAGCTAAGGTTCTCTCGAAAAAATAAGTCAGGAAAGAATACTATATTATTCAATAACTGCATTATTCCGTTTAAAATAATGTATTTTTGGCAACAACTTCGTCGTGGTTGCAGAATTAGCACAAGTGTTGATAAAATACCTAATATTTGTTTCAGGAAAATCTTAATATGTCAAAAATTATATATTTTATAAGACAATATCATTAAATTTAATTATTTCTATAGAAGTAAACCTTTATTGAAAAATGGAAAAGGAACAAACAAAAGAAGAGGAAAATAGTCGAATTTAAGACAGATTATTTTATTTAAATACCAACTTATCAAATAAGTTATAAAATGCTTAATCTGATAAAAATTATAATCTTTACCTAATAAATCATTTCAGATCTTCTTTAGCTTTTATTTTCCAAGCTGTTGTTGTATACCTCAACCAAATCAATCCAAGATCAACCCCCATTTGAACCCAACTCCAAAAAGGTGTTATTTTAGACCCATCAATTTCAGTCCAATTAACGGCTACTTCAGCAATTGGAATTTTTAACTTTTCAGCTATGTACAATAACTCTACATCAAAAGCCCTAAAGTATATTCCCAAATTTACTGATTAATTAAATTAATTTTCGTCGATATTTACCATCTTTCAACATGTAATGATTCAAAACACAATTTCGCCGTTTTTCTTGTAAATAATTTAAAACCACATTGTGTATCCTTAATTGTACGAACTGCAAATAACCAAACCAAAAAATGAAAACCGTACATCAAAATTGTTCTGAATAAACTTCTTTCTGCTACGGCTTCATCTTGTAAATGGGATCTTGAACCTATTGACATTGCTAATTTATCTGCACTATCTTTAGAATTGGTTGTTGAAATTAATTCAAACAATTTCTTTTCAACTTTATCAAAATCGGCAAATTTTGTTGCTCCATCAGCATCAACAAATAATAATAAAGAACCTCTTCCACATTGTATACCCTAAGTATTACAGCATAAAAAGTATAAGAAGTGTTTAATCTAATCTAGGATTGTTTACCAAACGAACAGCTCCACCTTTTCCCCGATTATACTCCAAATCCAAAATTCTAAATTTATCAACACCTAATTTTTTGCAATATTTTTCGGCTACCTGCACTGTTTTATCTTTACTACCATCATTAACTATAATTATCTCATATTTAAACGCTGTCGATTTAAATCTTCCTTCTAAAAATTCAATACACTCATCCAACATTGGACATACTAAAATTAAAATTAAAATCAAAAATCATTGTTAAATACCAAAAAAAATTATGTTATTTACATCTTTCTTCTTCATTATAAGCCGGCACTATTACACTTAAATCTAAAGTTGGGTTTTCATTTAGTGTGGGGAAAACTACATTTTCTCCTGTAATAGGGTTCCTAAAATACTTTTCCTTTTTCGTTCTTATTATGTTTGGATAAGCATTTGTGCTTGATATTAATATTAACCATCCCTTGAAAAAATTTGTTAGTTAAATAATGTTATATAATAAAAAATCGTGGAAATAATGAGGAAAGCTGGTAAAAAACATGATTAATTTTTAGGTTAAATTACCGAAATTACTGCAGAGGCTAAAAACGCCGAAATATAATAGAAAAAAACGGTATAATCTTCCATTGTGGTTATATAATACTCAATTTCCAATACATTTACGTTAAACTAAGTGGAAATATGATTTTTAAATTAAAACTCCTTACGTTTGCGGTTATGTTATCAAATATTTTGACAACTCAACTAATTTTTCGTTGTCATCCAATAGATGGCGGGATTTATTAATTAATTAAATAATTAATTTAATATATAATTAATTTAGAATTATTAACATATATGGATCGAATATTAATATATATTAATTTATTATTAATTCTATTATTTCTATATATATATATAAATTTAAAATACATGTCTAAAACGATTATACCGATAGATGGCACTACAAACAAGACACCAAACAATTTTCTTATCAGATAACAACTAAGTAAAAACACTTTATTCTCATTCCTAAAAACTCTAAAATATTTTTTAATAATTGCTTTTATGGCTTTTATCTCAAGCACGCGTAACACGCAAAGTATACAGTTTTTATTAAAAACTTTTAAATGTATTTTCCAGCTCACTCGTAAGGTAACGTCATCACAACAGATGGCGTAATTGGCGCTTTACGGTTTGTTTGACAAACGAGTGACAAATGTGTGATAAAACTTTAATTAATTAATTCACCCTGTATAATTTAATCTAAAGCCAGGTTTAAGATTTTTTAGTTGAACATTATTCAATAAGACACTTAAAAATACCAAAAAAATGGATCTGCATGAACCTATAGACATGCGTAACAAGGTGAGGTTATGACGTTTAATAAATTTTCAAGTCAGAATGAGTTTTATTAAATTAAATCGATAATATTTATAATTAAACTAAATGGACTTTTTTCGATGTTTGTTATTATAGACAGAGGCCGATTTAACCCCGGAGGAAAAATGGAGGTTGGAATTATTATTGATTTTATTTGGTTTTATTTTAAGACTTTGTGTATGAATCTTTTATTTTGAAGGCTACAGCACCAGAAATTACATGAACAGCACAAGGGACACGATAAGATGCATTTTGAAATGATCCTTATTTTAATTGGAACTCTAGTCATTGCCCAATTTGTACTTTTAGAATGGAAAAGAAGGCATTATAAATCATATTCGGTAAGTTTTAATTCAATTTAGTCACTTTTTATGATATCTTTGTGATTTTTTAGTTAACGACATTATTAGCTATGTGGCTTATACCAATCGGATTTTGTTTGAAACATCAGTGGTGGAGATTTATTTTTATCTGGTTATTATTTTCGTGTATAACTGGTTTAATAGTTAGAAAAGCAATTCAAAGGCCTATACAGGGTACAACACCAAGATTAGTGTACAAATGGTTTTTATTTATTTATAAATTAAGCTATGTTTTGGGTATTATTGGTTACATTATTATGATGGCGACGTTTTTCGGTTTAAACATAGTTTTTAAAGTGAAACCAAATGTTTGGATGGATTGTGGTTTACTATTTATCTTTTATGGGTTGTATTATGGTGTCTTAGGAAGGGATATTTCTGAAATATGTGCTGATAAAATGGCTTCACAAATTGGTGTAAGTAAAAAATTGGATTAAAATGATATAATTTCAAAATTAGATGCTGATGTAAAAGGTTTATCTTTAAACATAACAGAGATAGGATTAATTAGAATCCACAATTTGTGATTTCAATTTCTTATTCCATTTGAATTATTATTTAGAAAAATAATCTATAAATGTATTTTAAAAATTAACAGTGATGTTTTTAAAATACACAAACACTTGTATTGGGATTTGCTCAATTAATAAATGTGAGCAAAACTAATTAGCTTCATCAACTACTACTAAATTAACTTTGATTTTTAATTTACATCTCAATGATGTCCTAAATTCAACGATATACATGTTTCCAAATAGAAAATTTAAATCAGTTACATAAATAGCTTAATTTTAATTTATGGTAATTCTTCAGTTTTGCTGGTTTGTTTTACACAACATATACAGGCTGTTTTATAATATACGCGCAGGATATGCTTGTCCAAAAATTTGAAAAAAAGTTTCTATCAACTTACCCTCTAAAATGCACCATTTTCAAGATACAGGGAGTTGAAATTTAATAAAAAAAAAATTCGTTTTTTGCGAATATCTCCGGAACCGTTTATCGTACAGAAAACAGTTTTTGTAAGCATTTTCTACTCATAATAAGCTAAGTTTTATGCGAGAAAAATTTTTGAAAGTCATAATTGGTGAACATTTTTCTCCCCAACTTTTACGCCGCTGGAAAGAGTATGGTTTTGAGACGCCCATTTGAACCGCCAATGTTTTCTACACAAAAAAGGTACTGAAGGTCATGGGCTCTAAAGTTGACCATTTTCGAGAAAAATCAACTTTTATGTTGAATAACATGGTCAATTTTTTAAAATAAAAATTTTACTTTACGTTAGAATAAGTAACAAAAGCAAACGTTAACTTCATAATTGCATAATTAAAAAAAAAACAATTACAAATCATACACAGTTAAATTAAATGTTGGAAATGTCCACCGTTAGCTTAAATGCACGCAGCAATTCTTCGACGCATTGACTGTCTAACACGCAGGAAAATTCCCGGAGTGTTCCGAATTATGTCGCAAGATATAACAATGCGCTCTCTTAATTGATCAACATTTTCAACTGGTGTGTATCATAGACTAGGGTATGGGTATTCATCGTCCAAGTATTGGCGAGCAACCATATTAAAGTGGGCCGGAACTCCATCGTGCATAAATTACATGTTTTGTCTTACTTGAAGCGGTACATCTTCCAGCAGTTCCGGCAATACTTCTTCTAGAAATTGTCGATAATCTGCACGATGGCAGACCAAACATTTAGGGAAAATTGTTGCTGATGATGGCCTTCTGCAATTTCATGTGGATTTTTGTCTGCCCATATGTGGTTATTGTGAAAATTAAATTCTTGCATCCATGTACAGAGTGTTCAACAATGATTGTAAGGTGTTTGAATTTCCCGCTTTTGCGTTTAATTTTTAAGGCTGGTATGAGCAAACTAATAAGCATAGGCGTATCATAGGAGAAATTCCGAAGGCATTAAAAAATATATGAGGTTAAGAGATTTATGTATAAAATTTATCAATATGTAATTTTATTAACAACATTTAAAAATGTATATGAAATCAATTGATATTTATTCACATTTTGTTATAATAATTTTTTAACTCAAAAGCAATTAAAACATACCACGCCACTGATTGTTAAAAATACGTCGAAAACACCAGCCGGCATCAACGTTGTTTGTCAAATGTTACTAAAAGTCAAGCGCGCCAAATTCAAACACCTTACAGTCATTGCTCGCTCTGTTGAACGCTCTGTACAAAAAGCCAATCTTGGCGGACAATCTCTTGGCAATAAGGCTTGTACTCTTTGGATATGGTAATGACACAAAAGGTGCCTTTTCAAAATTCTCCAAACCGTCGAGTGAGATTGGTTTAAGTTATGAGCAATTTTTCTGGTACTTGTGGTCGGATTTTCATCAATTTCGTTAAGGACAGCCTCTTCTACTTGGGGATTTGCAACTTCCATAAGTCGCCCATTATCAGCAGTATTCCTTTTAAAACTTCCATTTTCCCATAGTCGTTGGTGAATGCGTAGAAACAAGTTATGGTGTGGTACTTTGCGGTCAGGATGTCTTTCTTGATCCAACCGCCTTGCTTCTGCCGAATTACAGCACACCATTCCGTAAAGGTAATGCATTTCGCACATTTCAGCGTTTGTGTAATTCATTTTTAATTTTGTGATACAAGTTTACTTTTTGCAGGTACAAACTGATTGTTATTTTGGCAGGAGGTAGCTTTTGTTATAAAATTTACCTTTACGGTTTGGAGAATTTTGAAAAGACAACTTTTGTATCATTTTTTCATTTTTTTTATTTTGCAACTATGAAGTTTGCGCTTGCTTTTGTTACTTGTTGTAACGTTTACATAAATTTTGTTTAATCGTAAAATAAAATTTTTATTTAAAAAAATTGACCATGTTATTCAACATAAAAGTATTGGAACGAAAACGGTCAACTTTAGAGCTTATGACCTTCAGTACCTTTTTTGTGTAGAAAACATTGGCGGTTCAAATGGGCGTCTCAAAACAATACTTTTTCCAGTCACGTAGAAGTTAGGGAGAAAAAGAACCACTTTCAAAATATTTACCAATTATGACTTTATAAAAAAATTTTCTCGCACAAAACTTAGCTTATTATGAGTAGAAAATGCTTACAAACGCAAAAAACGATTTGTTTTATTAAATTTCAACACCCTGTATCTCGAAACTGGTACATTTTAGAGGGTAAGTTGATAGAAATTTTTTTTCAAATTTTTGGACAAGCTATCACAACCTGAAGTCCTGCGTATATTATGATACACCCTGTATAACCTACATTATTAGCGCAACAAACATGAAAATCTGGATATAATTGCAATCGTTATTGGGAAAATCAGAAATTATTCCAAGATATCGTCTGTTTATACTTATTTTATAGACATTAAACTTAACATAAAAAAAACATTTTCTATTTTATCCATTATCGGATTTCCTAAAACATAGGCGACGGGTGTTTCGAATCTTGTATAATTTGCAGTTATACAGGTGCCACAAAAGTCCAGTAGCATGGTATTTGTGCTGATAAAAACACAACGAAAGTACATAGACATACGAAATTTGGCATAAATATTATTCAAACATTAACAAACAATAATCAAAGTTCGAAGTCCCAACCCTTCGCCTTCACACAGGTCCATAGACGCTTTGGGAACGCAGTCACTGTGGCAAAGAGGTGCTGGACGTCGAGGTTGTCCGTTCCCTTTTTAAGAGCGCGCTTCAAACTGTCGAGATTCTTGTGACCACACGAATCAGAGACTAGCTCCAAGGAAACATGTTGCATATAGGTAGTTCTAGGAGTTGATCTTGACCAGCTGATCCGCAAAAATCAACGGAATCTTCCCGGTCGCTCCGTTCCAAACGATGACCTGAGCGGCATGACCTTTTCGGAAAACGTAGTGTTCGCTTCCTGAATCGATCGCGCAAGAATTCTGTCGAAACGAATAAAATTACAACATCGCAAAGTTAGGCTATCATATTTTGTGACACCCTGTAGTACCGCGGCTTAAATGAAATTATAGAGTGTGGGTTTGTTTCAGATATATCTATTTTCTGTAATTTGTAGTAGGATATCACAGATAAGAGAGTAGCAGAAAAGCTATATGATGATGTAGAAACTTAATTTTGAAGAACGGAAACACTGCAAAAACATGGTAAAGCAGACACTGATATATGTTGGTTTTGTAACAAAGGTATACAACAGAGTATACTCTATCTATATAAAGATAATACGCACTGTTGAGAGTGTCTTGCGAGAGTGCAGGTGAAAATGATTGGAAATCGAAACAATTGAAAGACAATTCAGAAGTCTGTGATAGTTGCAGTTTCATAGATAGAGTTAGGGGAAAAAAGTAGTTTCAACATTTTGTTACTCTTTATTGTCAAAAAGTACTAAAAAATTACACTTATGTTTAAGAGTAGCTAAAACATATTTTCATGCAATAAAATGTTTGTGTACAAATTTTCTTGGAAAAGAAAGTTTTTCTCTTTCTCCACTTTTAAATGAAATTCTAGTTTTTGTAGAAACATAAGGTAACAAAATAAAAGAACTAGTGTAAGGCGGGAGATCCCAAAGTTTCAATTCCTAAACAATAATCGAAAAGTAAACATATGAGAAGACACATAAACCTCTCTTTGTCATTGTTTCAATGTAATTCTTTTTATGTAGGCATAAGAAAATATTTCCAAAATTCCGTAGTATAGCTGGATTTACAAATGCACAAAAAGGATTAAATTCCAAACAACTTCTAACATATTTTAACACTTTGCCGTCCGCACGTTTCGCAAAAATTTATTCGCTCGGCGCCGGCAGAATATTCAGATTACTTATCCGTGCAAAAAGTCAAGTCCCCTCACTTTAGAGATCGATATCTTCGCAACCGATCGATGAAAAAAATTGCGACAAAGTTTGTTGTAATCACTGAACATTTCTACGTAACATATGTTAATTTGAAAATGTTCGGATCCGCGGTTTTCTTTTTATCGTGAGTTAAATGAAAAAAGTACCCGATTTTTGAGTGTGCCGGCAACTTTGTCAACTTTGCGATTTTTTTTCTCGAAAACTATTTGACGAAAAAATTTCAAATTTGAACTGGTGGTAAACCGATGTGTTCTTAATGTGGTGCATATCTTATTTTTTCGATATTCCATATAGTTTCGCGGAAAATCGCGGTTTAGTAGGATGCGGTTATTTCGGAAACGACCTGGCGGATTTCAACGCGGTTTTTACCAAAATATGTCAAATCATGCCGGTTGTCGAATTCCGTTATCAGTTTTTCAAAATTAGGGCTCCCTAATTTTTTAAGGGCGATTTAATGGAATTACAAATTAAAGAGAAACAGAAATATGCCATGGGGGTTCCGGCCAATCGGAACAGAGTTGAAGAGATATTGCTGGCGTGCGCTTCGGACGGGCCGTGGAGAATCATATTTAAAATTTTAGATAAAATTATTTTATTTCAAATTCAATAAGTATGTTTCATTTTTGTATATAAGACATGAATAATGCATATAAATTTAAACAAAATAGCGTGGCACTATTTTCTTCAAAATTTTTTATTTTGTTTTTCAACATATATCAAGAATATTAATAATTATTATTATTATTTTATTTTTATTATGTTATATTAATCTTATTGCTAGTTCTCCTGATTTTCAATCCTGTCTAGCTATTTTCACGAAATTTCGAATAAATGTAAATAAATGTAAAATTTGTATGTTTTATATAATAATAATAATAATGTACTTTTATTGATACCACAAAATAAATACAACAAAACAATAGTAAGAATAACAATAAACAATAAACTAATACGTAAACCACACAACAAATAAATACGTATTTTGGCATATATGTTTCTTGATTTATATTTTCTTTGGTACCTACTTAGTATTTCTCTTTTTGATGATATGAAGCAAAACGATCCCCGAGATGTAACGCAACTCCACAAGACTTGCACATTAAATTCGTTGTCCTTCTTTTTTTGTTTTTGGAACAAACACGGCATCTTCTTCGTTTACGAAGTTTAATTTTTCTGGAAATCCTCTATGTTGTCGCATCGTTCCACAGACTCGAATTTTCTTTGTAAGTAAATTCTCCGCAAGTTCTACACAATTGTAGTAATTGTCCATGTATAAGTGATATATTATGTAAAAACAAAATAAAAAATTTTGAAGAAAATAGTGCCAAGCTATTTTGTTTAAATTTATATGCATTATTCATGTCTTGTATACAAAAATGAAACATACTTATTGAATTTGAAATAAAATAATTTTATCTAAAATTTTAAATATTATTCGCCACGGCCCGTCCGAAGCGCACGCCAGCAACATCTCTTCAACTCTGTTCCGATTGGCCGGAACCCCACCCCTCCCCGCATGGCTTACTTCTGTTTCTCTTTAATTTGTAATTCCATTAAATCATCCTTAACAAAATAGGGGGCCCTGATTTTGAAAAACTGATAACGGAATTCGACAACCGACATGATTTGACATATTTTGGTAAAAACGGCGTTGAAATCCGCCAGGTCGTTTCCGAAATAACCGCATCCTACTAAACCGCGATTTTCCGCGAAACTATATGGAATATTGAAAAAATAAAATATGCCCCACATTAAGAACACATCGGTTTACCACCAGTTCAAATTTGAAATTTTTTCGTCAAATAGTTTTCGAGAAAAAAAATCGCAAAGTTGACAAAGTTGCCGGCACACTCAAAAATCGGGTACTTTTTTCATTTAACTCGCGATAAAAAGAAAACCGCGGATCCGAACATTTTCAAATTAACATATGTTACGTAGAAATGTTCAGTGATTACAACAAACTTTGTCGCAATTTTTTTCATCGATCGGTTGCGAAGATATCGATCTCTAAAGTGAGGGGCCTTGACTTTTTGCACGGATAGTAGATCCATACGTAAGCGGGCGACACCAACGTGGTGACGCCGGCCGTTGAGCGATATCTTTCGCGCGACACCACTGTGGTGTCGCCGGACGGCATAGTGTTAAGAGCATTTACGGTGGGACGAAATGTAAAAAAGTGTTAATGTAGGTGGGTGAAGAAATGACTTAAGAGGTCAAGAAATTGATAACGTCTGAAACATAAAGACACTGATTTTTAGCAAATATTAATAATTATATGCAAAAGAACTTACGTTTATTGTATTTATTCCTGCTACATTTAGAATTTCAATGATCAATTAATACTGAAAATAAAAGACAGAATTTATTTAGTAAAATTTTAGGTTGATAATATTATGGTTGCAAATCTTCTGTTCTATATCATCATTGGAGTCAGGAATTAAACAACAATTAATAATTAAAATTGTTACAATAACAATTAAAATAAACAATTTACTAGTATTTCCAAATATCGGTGTTGATTCAAATTGCCGTTTATGAAGTAAGGTCTAATAACACCGTCCCACAAAACAGCACACCACACATTCACTTTCTGGGAATACTGGCGTTTACAAGCTATGCTATAATGTGGATTAGTCTTTGACCAGAATCGACAATTTTGTTATATAACCACTTCATTAGTGGTGAACGATGCTTCGTCCGAAAATATTATGTTTTTTAATAAAAAATTATGTCTTTCAAAATTTTGTACCCAAGCCAAAAACAATAATCTAAACGTTTTGCTTCATCACCTAATTCGATAGTGTGGTTAAATTTTGGTTTATACGGCAATATTTTATTTTCTCGATAAATTCTTTGTAAATGGGATTTCCTTATACCGACTTGAACTGCCCTTTTTCTTAACAACACCTTCCATTGTAATCCATTGCGTTCGTTACTGCAACAATCGACCCCGCATCATGTGCCACATTGCCCGTTTCCGAAAATTTTTTAACAACTCTCTTAATTGTCTTTTCATCTACTAAAAATCCAAATCTTTCCTCAAATAGCCTTAAAACTGCATTGTAACTAATGTTCCCCAATCCATGCACTGCACTATAAATATTTTATGTTGTAATGTAAACATGATCAATTAATATTTGACAATAGGCTAAAGCTAAGCTATCAAATGATAATAGTTAGTTCACTCAGATCATTTGTTTTTATTGTAAAACGGAATATTAAAACAAAATTTTCAATAAAAAACTCATTTTTTCTTTTATATGCTAAATTAATAAAATTCGGCATATCGCTATAATTTAACATAACAAACATTTTATCTTAATCAACTGTTGTTGTACATTGCTCAGAAAGACCACTTTACTTGCAATGGTTAACAAACTTCTTGCGTTAACTATGGTAATTTGAGGATATTTGACGTAAAACTTGGTTATATTTCGTTTTATGACATCCAGACTTTAATTGCAAAAGATGGAATTTGAATTCAAAAATTTATTGTCAATTATACCTTACGGGGACACAATTCGGGGACACGCTGTATATTATTATTTGTAATGGTTCTTAAATCATTCGTGTACCATCATTAACATCTTACTACTTATTTAGTATATTATGTTAATTTGGTCAATATTAATTATGAAATCCATTTTACCAGTAATGTGTGTTATTATGTTAATACCTATTCATAATTTACCTCGTCCCATTATACCCCAAATTTGTCAATTCACATAAACAATTATTCTTTTGTCTGTTAATTACCACAAATACATGCAAACTTCACGCTTCTTGCATTTATCGCCACTGATATTTTATCATGATTAGGTATTGTAATACATTGCTTTTATATCCCTTAATTAAACGTGTTGTTTATTATAATGTGATAATCGCATTTTCAGTTTTTATGAAAATTCCAATATAATCACCTCTTCTAATATGTTATTCATATTGTTAAATCTTCATTTCTTAAGTTGTCAATCATTCGTTGTTAATTGTATATAGGTATAAATGTTTATCAGGATTATAATGGCTTTTATATCAAATGTAACTTTCCTAACCAAGATAAACATTAAAACATACTTTTCTTGGAACAATTGTATTTCTACATACTATGTTTTTGCATGGAGCTGCCCAACTAAAAGTGTTGAAACTTTGTATATGAGTAGAAATATTTACATTTTAAAAACGTTACTTCAACATAAAATTTTAAATATAAAAAAAATATTCTTAGAAATGAAAAGTGATGTTTATTGAAAGCACTAGTAATATTAATTGTTGTAATTTTGTTAAAAATGTATTATGTGTAAATGTATTTATTTATTTTGTTTTAGTATTATACATCTCAGGGAATGCCTACAAGAAACTTAGAACCAAACGTTTGTGCTGTTTGTGGTAATAAATTACTAGTACAGGCAGATGAGGAAGGTTTAATAGAAAATACTTATCAATTATCTTGTCAACATGTGTAAGACTAATTTAATCAAATACTTTCTTTTAATGTTTTAATATTAAAAATTACTTTCAGTTTCCATGAATTTTGTATAAGAGGTTGGTGTATAGTTGGAAAAAAACAAACTTGTCCTTATTGTAAAGAAAAAGTCGATTTAAAGAAAATGTTTTGTAATCCATGGGAGAAACCCCATGTACTTTACGGACAGCTATTAGATTGGATAAGATGGCTAGTAGCATGGCAGCCAGTAATTTTGTTTGTTGTTCAAGGAATTAATTGGACTTTAGGACTTGAATAATAAAAACTAAATTTAAATAAGTTATTCTATTAAAATCCTTAAAAAATCTTAAAAAAAAATTACAAAATTTGAATTTAAGTGTATAATTTCACTTTTACTCGTTAGATGGCGATATTCTATTTCATTTTAGAGTAAACGCCACCTAGCGTCAACAAATAATCTAAACGCAGTTCCATGTCAGTTAGCAGGTTGTTCTGAACGTTACAGTGATGTGTTGGTTTTATCGCGTAAAATCCGACCAATTTCGGCGAAAAATCTAATAAAAATAACCTAAAAAACATTTAAATTGAAACACGTTTTTAATTCATTGTGAAAGTTCTCCAACAAAATTTGGATTAGTTTTCTTTTTTTTTTGGCTCAGAAAAAGGTAGGTAAACCGTTTTCAACACCTTTCGAATATCTTTTTTAACATCTTTCCAACTCGTCTTTAAAAGTATTTATTTTAAAACTTTATTATATTACTCATTTTATTTTTGAACTTGAACTGGAAACATTTTTATGTGGGACGAATAAATTAGGGTTTAAAGAAGACGTTTGTGGTTAGGATAGGTAAGTTTGACCGATTTCAAGGCCAAGAATTTATTCAATTTGAGCACCTGTAGATGTTTCTTAAACTTTAAATTATTTATAAAGGTGTTTCAAGGAATTTTGGTTGATTAAAACTTTATAAATTGTAAATTTTAGAAGATATAAGCAAAAAAAACTTGTTTTTGTTCTCTAATAAAAGGAATTAGAATATATTAAAACAATTTTGAATAAAATCTCGCTTATAACAAACAAAATATAATATTTGTTAAGTTATTGTATTGTTAAGTTCTTAAACGAAGGGATATTTTAGTGAATTAATGATTAAGTAAAAATTAAAAGTGAGGTTAGAATGTCAAATTGCTCATCTTATAAGTGAGGTTAGATTTGTTTTGAAAATCTTGCGAAATGTCACGTTTTTTATTTATTTTTGGTTTTCATTTTTAATCACCGTAATATACAGAGTGATTCTGATAATTAAGTTGAATACCATGTGGAATATATTCAATTTTAACTTGAATCAAAATTTTTCGGATCAACTTAGTTAAATCGAAATGTATCAAAAAATATTAAGGTTTTAGCCTTCTTACTTAGATAGGTGGATTTCTTTATTGTCTTATTAAAAAAGACTTTTCTTACACTCGTCACATGGTACATAGCATAACCGAAATCTAGGCTAAAAAAGGAAAGCATAAAATACAATACAATTAATAGAAGCTGACTACAGCAAGCAAAGAATAAAAGTTACAAGATCTTACAACAAAAAACGTACAATTACAAACTATGGCAATGCCATCGGTGAGCCCTCCAAGTTATCGAAATTGTAACCTTTAAAGCCAAGGTAGAGCCTTATTTTAGTATTAAACTGCTTAGCATTAAGGACCCTGACACGATTGGACAGCACATTGAACACCTATACATCATCATTCTGTATGGCGAAGCTCCAGATAATGAAAGCTGGTCGTCGTATCCATCGCATACCCTTTTCGCCACAATTACGCAACGGCTTTGAGAAAGAAGCACCTTCACCACCTACAGGAATGACTATAGTGCTCCAAGAAGATTCTGCATTCCCGAATTAGAAAAGGCTATACTGCATCAACCCAACCCGTCAACGAGTATACGAGCAATTGTACGTGCAATGGATGTTACACCGTCTGGAATGTTCTGCTTGAACAGTTACTACATCCATATCACCTCCAAATGATACATTAATTACTGTTAGCCAATTTTGCACCACGCGTTGAGTTCTGTTCGTGTTTTCTGTTCCTTTGCATCACGGCGTATTCGCTTTACAGATAAATGTAATTTTACTAGGGATTGTATTCTCGAAACAGCCACATCTGGGCAGATGAAAACCCTCATTCCACTCGCGTTTAAGGATTCCAATACAGATTTATTATCAATGTATGGGCTGGTATTAAATGGTCATGTGATCCCATCTACTTAATCTTCCTACAACAAGTATTGAACGTGTTGTTGGATGCTGTGCCATTAAACGTCCGTCAAGCATGTGGTTTCAGCATGACTCAAGTTTCACTTCATGTTTGGGAACATCTGGACCAACGTTTCGGATAGGTCTAGAGGTAACCGAGGTAAAAAAGGTTTCTTTCATTTTTGCTCTCAGATGCATAAATATAGAGAAAGAAACGAAAATTTGCTGAATTTGAGTTGTCAATGGTATCATTCAGGATTTAGAACGTGACACAAGTCTACCCTGCTTGAAGTTTATAAAAGAATTATCTTATTTCTTATATCACGAACATTACTTAAGGAACAAAAGTTGTAGTAAATTTTATTTTTAACAATAGTTTTCTTTCATTTTTTTCTCAGATTTATAAATATCGAGAAAAGTACGAAAATATGAAAATTAGGTGAATGCGTAGTTTTCCATGCTATTAATAGTAACGTTGGGAATTCGGAACATATTACAAATAATGTGGTATATCGTTGTATCTGGATTTTTGTTTTGTAGTTTTATTTTCCGCAATAAAATTGCGCACGTTTTTTAGACTATGGCAAATAATAGAATATTAAATGTGGAGCAACTTTCCATCCATAACATTTTGCCATATCTCCAACAATAATCAAGATATTTGCTGTGACAGCTAAAATCAAACAAGTGTTTAATGATGAAAGTAACCTCTTTACAACGGAATTCATTTGGGGCAGGAATACGGACGATTCCAAAGAGCAGCTTTCAGATTATATCACTCCTAAACTTAACGAAGAAGAGGATATTAACATTTAAAAATCTTCTACTCCAAGCAATGTTAATGTTGATGAAGAAAAATCCATCTCCTGTCATAACTAACTATTCCAGGAGACTGATGACAGTTACCATAATGTTCTGTCTAGAAAGTATATTTTTATTGTTACATGAGGGAGTTTAATCCATGTTGACCAGTTATTTTCTATAATATAAATTAAATAAAAACAATACTTTTTCTGGTCTTCTTTATTTATTGTCTGACCGGTTTCGGCTTACGCCATCATGAGAGACACTGATGAGAATTAATTAATTAAAGAATCAAAGTGACCAGAAAAAGTATTGTTTTTATTTAATTTATATATTTCTATTACCTAAGGACCCAGTTAATTTACTAATAGTAGTAAAAGGAAAATCTTGTTCAATAACAACATCGAAATAAAACGAAAGGAATTTGTTTAAACATGTTTTATATTGATTTAGAATAAAATAGATTTTTATATAAATAGTAAAAAAAGTAAAGTAAACTAAAGTATTTTTATATACTTTATTTTAAACATCTTATATTAATAAAAAGATCTTCAACTGTAACTTTAAAGTCTCATTTTAGTGTCTAAGCAGGTAACAGATTGGCTATAGAGGTTAAAATAAATCGATAAAACGTGATGTAACACACTTAAACGGACAAATTACAATAAATATTTGATTGAAATGGAAAAACTATAATTAACACCGCAGGCTTCTGGCGACGCATTCACACAGTACATGTTCAGTAATCCCTGACTCGTCGTTACAAAGTCGACAAGTTTGATCCTCAGCTTGTCCAATATGGAAGAGATGGTATTTTAGGGGCGCATGTTCAGCAAACCTGAGAGCGATCTTAAATCCCCTTTGCTGAAGCATAAAACCTCTTTGGTTTTGTTTTGCGATGGAGTTATCATGCATTAAGTTTGGTCACTTCGTTATATGCATATTGCAGCTTTGTTCATCACTGTACACCCTGAAGATCTGATATTCATAGATCCTTAATGCAGCAGTTTTCTACGAGGAGTTGCAAGTTGGGATTTTTCCTTTATTAGGATTAGGAATAAAAGGCATCCCTACTCCGTACGGAGTATAGAACACCCTAGGAACAAGGGATATACTATTTGTACTTTTGTACTCAATGTCCGGCACAAAGATTCCTAGAATATAGAATAATACAAGACTTATACGTATGCTTTATAGGCTATAACAAAGCCTTCTAAGCTAAAAAAGCTAATAAAGGGAAAGATAGACCACAGAGACAAGAATAATTTTAAATCTCTACTATGAGCAAAAAGCAGTAGTTACATAGAACTTTAGTTCTACTTAAAGAGGTTCTTTCACACATTCCACATTTTCTCCTGTTTGTTGTTCGTCAAAAGTAGTGATAACTTTGGTTTACGTTTGACTAATTCAAACATGTGCATTTACCTCTACTTCATTACTGCTTTGACGAGTGTAGCTTCATAACATGGAAAGGATTGAATATGTGACTTATTTGCTGGCTGTTTGCACTCCTAATTTCTTGTGCACATTGGAGTGGACAAGCCCAATGTTGAGAGAACCTTCTTTACTAAAGCTGATGAACAAAGAGCACATAAAAATTGTTTTAAAGTTGGGAGAAGTTTCTTAATATCAAGACGGTTTTTTTATTAAATCTACCACTGCAAAGCAGAAACATTGGGTATAACTTTCTCGGAGAACATAATTGCAGAAAATGGAAATCCATTTTCACCTGTACCTAAACTATTAATGGTGGTAATCCTATTTACGTACATATCCCCATGTTCATAGCTTCGCCTTTCTTTATCATCGTCAATTTATATTTTGTATTAGTTTTCATTTAAAACATGTGTAATTAAATGGTAGGGCATAAGTGTTTGTTTGTAGCATTTCTGATAAACTTGTGTTAGAGACAGTGATAATTCCACTTATTCCGCAAACGCACTTCGTAATTCCTTCCAGATTTCTATAGCTTCAGATAGAGAAGCATGTCGTGTTTCCAATTTGCCAAGTCCCACGGGTATTGACCTTAAAATATTTAAGTAATCTTCTACAGATTGTTTGAGAGCAATATGAGATCGTTCTTGATAATTTTGTCCATTTCCTTTTTATTTTCTTCACATTTTAACATTTTTTGCCATTGACTTACATATATTTGCAGACAATTCACCATATTGTCCACCTTATAACGTTTGGCAGGACTAAAACTTTTCCATCAGCTAGCATATACTTAGCTCTAGCCAGCTGATAGTTTCTAAAATATTTCATAATTTGGATTACATGTTCTTTGACTTTAGTTACTTCTAGGTCTTTGCAAAGCAAATTTAAGAAGTAAGCTGATCATCTATAGGTTATAGCAGAACTATTAGATTGTTATTACAAATAAAACTGGTGAACAACCTCAATGGTATTTTTTTTTATTCTGTATGCAGTCTCCTGTTTACACGTAAACCTATTATCTCTCTTACTTGGTCTGTTTAGATCCAAGAAAGCATTCACCTCAATTCTAGACTTATCGATCACACATCTTCGGAGTAGAGGCCAGTATCTGTGTTTAATTCAAAAATATCATTCATTGATGCTTTGCTCAGAAGTTATTTGTAGTT